ATGATGTAAATGACCGTGATGCCTTGAAAATGAGTTTGTGCTTGAATGAAATCATCAAAATCACCCCACTAGTGTTGAATTGCATGGTTCTTCACAATGAGCTTGATGTTTTGACTGACTTAATGTGCTTTGAATGAGCAAACTCTTTTAGCAACATTCTCTTTTGTGAGGATAGTGTAACGACTTTTGGTGAAGTAGTTAGGTGGAGAACATTGACCATTCGATATGTTTGGATACCGTGCTTACTTGCATCAATTGTGAGCTTTTGATTTTACAATGAGTCTCTCTGTTTTGAATGTTTTATGATGGGGTGAACTGTATCTTTATAAAAGAAAACACTACCTGACAAGTAAAATATAAGAAAGTTGCCATAACAATTAAAGTGTGGGTAAAAATGCCAAAATCGTGTGAGGCAATCACTCATTGCACATGGGGATGAGGAAAGATTCAATTGAGAATCGGTTCGCGACCGTACGATGTTGCTTATCAAGTACGATCCCCAGTTGAGTGAAGTGCCATTTGAGGAGCAATGACCCTCCACACGGACCGAGGATAAGGAGTTAAAAGAAGCCCTTATGCGAGTGCTAAGAAGCAGAAATTGCTCTTGCTCGGTCACAGGTAGTAAGAAACAGATCCCACTTGTACTAAATACGACCTCTCGGCAAGCAAAAGCAGAAAGAGAGAAAGTCTCTCATTGTCATAAAAGGTAGTGATGTGCTTAAAGTAAAATCATGTTTGCGAAAGGCTTCCCCCATTAGTTTTTGAGACTCATGCATAATTAATTGTTTATGATTGGTGTGAGTAAGCCAGATTGTCCTCACGAGATATGCACCTCACTGATGTGGTTAGATTCTCCTAATAACTGTTGCACCATAAGTTGTTAACCACCCACTACCGACGATCGAAATTGAGTGTTGCTATTTGAGTTTTTGGTGGATTTGAGTCAGTCAATGATAATGGTTGCAAAGAACTTGAGTGTGGGGTGAAAGGTATGACCATTAGAGCACAACTTATCCGTTGAGAAAGAAACTACTGATTACAACAAGAGTACAAGGAAAATTTTGTTTTGTTTGAGTGTTTGATTAGTGAGTCTGTGGTGTGTCATTGTATTGGATGATTTTGTGTTTGTGTCTTTTGAGTCGTTGCTTAGGGACAAGCAACAATTGAGTGTGGGGTTGTGATATTCGGCTTTAACATATTGAATTTTTGGACTTTATGTGATTATCCCATGGTATGTTTTAGCCAATTGGTGCTATTTTAGGGCTCGCTAACCCGAGAATGGTTAAAAAACCATTACTGCCTAGTGCCATGAGTTTGATGTATTACAGGTGAAGAAAACACGAAAAAGGAACAGAAACTCTCTTGGACCGGGCTAGAGGGACGAGGACATTGGACGGGCCATGGAAGCTTGCGGGAGGAATGATGGGCCAAAGCCCATTCTCCTTTTGACTTGGCGGCTTTGGGATTAATTGGAGAGGAAGAGGAGAAAGGTCGGGGAAAAGGAAAAACGGAATTGGAAAAGAAAAAAAAAAAAAAGAAGCAGCCAGGAGAAGGGAGAGCTGGGGGGACACGGAATTAAAAAAAAAAACAAAAGGAAGGCAATTAATTGGGAACCAGGGAGGCGGCACTTTTTCTGGGGAAGAGAGAATTCTTTGTGGAGAAAAAAAGAAAGGGACGAAAGCAAAAGCGGAGCAGCAGCAGGAGCAGCGGCGATTGGAATTTGGCGATCAACCTCTTTCCAAAGTTTGAGCTGAGTTCAACGAGAGCGATTAGTTGGTTGGATTTTCTAAACTGAACTAGTTGTGTATTGTTGATTTAGAACATGATGAACAAAACCCTATCGTTTTATCTTAATTTCGTCATGAACTAAACCCCGATTTCTGGGGGAAACACCATAGGATGTAGCTATTTCTTGATTTGATGGATTGATTTATGATTCTTTTCTTCCAATCTCTATTGCATGGAATTGCTTAATGCTTTGTGTTGACTGGCCACCAATACAATGAATCGTAGTTGATTAGGTTATTAGCGACAGTGAAACCCTAATAACTGAACCTATTTCATGTGACATAGTAACTTATCGAAGCGACAGTGGATTAAATAAGGTGTTATGCGGTCTTAAATAGGATATCGATCTTCAGACTAGATAGTTAATTCATTGAGCTACGACAGTAGGATTTGAATTGATTATTTAGTACGTAGTAATTCCCGACAGGGATAGCTAGCACATTCGTGATATCCTGGCTGTAGAGGTATGGATTAAACTGATTAGAATATGTGAATTAATCTGGATAGGATAGGTAGTGAATCCCGGTGTTTCTCCCAGAGCTTTCTCCCATTGAATTTTCCTCGACAAGTTTACTTTGCTTAATTAGTTTAGTTAATTTTGCTTTTAGTTAATAATTTCATCTCTTAAACATTTTCACATATAGTTTGCTCGAAAGAATTGATAAATCATAAGGTTGTACCAGTCCCTGAGAGACGATACCCGGATTTCCGGTTTTACTACAAGATAGGATTAAGGCATATACGCTTTTGCCCTACCATGCTCAAAGTAAGTTTACCTGAGAAGTTTGGATTAACAAACAGGTGCCTAGTAACAGAGTTCACCATGGGCTGAGATTGTTGGTTCTGTTGAGGTTGAGATCCAGGTGACACAGGTGAAGTAGGAGACTGTGGTGGACTGAACTGATTGAGTAGTCTTTGAAGCCTGCTCAGGTCATCAACAGACAACCTAATATTTGTGAAACCATCCCCAGCCTCAGGTGAACTCTTGGTTTCTGGCTTAGGAAGTATACCACTTCCTTCAGTGCTCTGAATCTGCCCTGCGAATCCAGATGATCCTCCTGATTCTTTGAGAGAATTCTTCCTTTTGAGTCTAAAGCAATCTGCTATAACATGGTTGTCCTTCTTGCAGTAACGGCAAAACAAGTTCCCCTTAGCAGCATCCTTTCCTTTGTTCTGATTTGCTGCTAGCAATGCCACTGAATCTACTTGAGACTCATGATTGGGCTTAACCAATTGCCTCTCATGCTGGATGGCATAATGAAATGCAGTTTCCATGGCTGGTAATGGACTCATCATAAACAGATTGGTTCTCACCCCCTCATATGAGTCATTTAAACCCTTAATGAACCTGGTCACAAATTCATTCTCTCTATACTTCTTCATGGTAGTCTCAGTAATACAAGGAACTCCAGCATTTGCTATTCCAGCACATTCACAACTAGGAATAGGCAAAAACTGACTTATCTCCTCCCAATATCCCTTCAATTCAGTATAGAACTGGTTTACAGATCTATTACCTTGCTTAGATGAGTATAAGGCAGTCTACAGATCTGAAATCCTGATGTTATCAGCACGTCCAAAGCGTTGCCTCAGATCTTCCCACAGCTGCCGTGCATTCTCAATGGTAGAGACAGAATCGACTAGGCTTGAGTCAAGAGAACCCAGAATCATGAACAACACAGATGTGTTGCTCTGTTCCCAAGCTGGGTACGACTCGCTCAACAGATCTGGAACAGGAATTGACCCATTTATAAATCCCAGCTTGTTCTTGCTCTTCAAGGCCACACAAACTGTCCTGCTCCATAAGCTGTAATTTGAAGCTCCAGTGAGTTTGATTGGAAAGACGAGGGACTCATTAGGGTTGATGTAGTAGGGACTGGTGACTGTAGGTGCCACAGTAAGAATGGTGTTTGGGTTTGTAGAAGAAGGATTGGTAGAATCATCAGCGGCTGTAGTTGCCATAGTTTGATGATGGAATTAGGTGAGGAAGAATGCGGGTGAAGGTGAAACCCTAGTTGCTTGAGCAACCAGGCTCTGATACCATGTGAAGTTTTGGATAGGATCAGAATTTGGTGGAAGAACCCGCAAAAAGAGCTCATTTGCCTCAAGGGCAGTATATATACGAAGCCAGAGACAGCTTCCTGTACAAGGGGTCTAGTCAGCATATTTACAACGGTAAAATAAACTAACTATCTTCTAACTACCAATCAACAGAAGACAGGTGTGTATAAACAGTAAAAACGGAAACTCCTAAGAACACTAAATGGAACAGCGTCGTCTGCTCCCAGCTCTTCACTTGCTTCTGGTTGAAACGATGTCGTGCCACCAGCTCGGTAGTGTTCTTGCCTTAGATAAAACCAGAGCAGCTACATCGTCTTCTTCAATATCCAATGACTGGGAGTGTGCAAATTACATTTCTTCCTTAGCTTATGGCTCAAATCATCTGGTTCATACCCACATTTGTCTTATTTTCTGCCTTGGTCCGATCATAACGAGAATCTACCAGAAAAGCAATGTTGTCAAAATCGAACCGGAGCATGACCCAGTAATGCGAACGGCTCGCATTTTATTGGTCCAACCGGCATTAGACCGTTTAAAAACCGTTAGAGAATCGGTATCTAATAAACGTTATCAGTATAAATAGTGGACATTTCTTAATCAGAGCTCATCTCTTTCCTTTGAAATTGTGAAATGGAAATAAGGATTCAATTTGAGAGCCCGACGTTTTTGGTTTATTTCAATTTTCAATTTTCTACAATTTTTTTAATTAAATTTAGTGGCTGAATGGCAAAAACCGGACGAGCAGCTCGATCGGCTCGAACGGTTAACCGCCTCGGCCGCTCGCCAACCGCTGCATAAAACCAGAGCGGCTTTTAGACTGTTCCGAGCCGATTTTGTGACCGGGTGGCGGTTTTACCGATCGGGCCGAGCGGCTCGACTCGGCTTTAATAACACTGCAGAAAAGGTATCAAAAGTAGAAAAATATTTCTAAATGCTACAAAATGCACATTTGAACGTTTATGAAGTAAATACATATATAGTAAAAGTACTTCAGGATTTATCAAAACCATATAAATAACACCAAGAAGTAGGGTATAAAATCATATATATAATTTGTATATTTTGAGTGTCTTGACTAATCAAGCACAATTAGCTTATTAAACAATACTATCGTAAAAGAGGAATTTTACAATGCTATATAGCATTGATGCTATAGCTTTTTGCCTTTATAGTACAACTTGAAGTTGTACATTTAATGTTATGGTACAACTTCAGATTGTACCTATACTATTTTGTACAAATTCTTTTATGGTACAACTTAAACTTGTACCTTCATGTGATGATGCAACTTTAAGTTATAAAGTTGTACCATAATATAAGGGTACAAATTCCTTTATTGTACAACTTTAACTTATACATTTAACGTTATGGTACAACTACATTTAGCATTATGATATAACTTTAATTTGTACATTAAAGCACCAATACTTTATAGCGTAATAAAGTTCTCATCATAAAATACAACTGCATAAGACTTGAAATAAGACAAATTGTGCATCGAGCGAGCTCGTAACTTACAACCCACATCTTGACCCTCTTCTCTTTTAGTACAGCTCTAAATTCGAAAGCCTGGGAGTAGGAACGAGGACCAAAGGGTTCATCTTCTTGATCACAAAGCCAAATTTGTCCGACAATTCCAGCTCCGTCTCTGGCGGCAACTTCCAGTCGAACGAATGCAAGAGCGTAGCCAGCTCGTATTTTATCGTGTTCACTGCAAGACGTTGTGCAGGGCATACCCTCCTCCCAGATCCGAACGGAAGGAACTGAAAGTTGTTTCCTTGGAAATCAAACTTCGTGTCGTCCTCCAGGAACCTGTCAGGTTTGAACTCCAGAGGGTCTTCCCAGAGTTGTGGGTCGGTGTGGATGGCATAGGCATTCAGATAGACGATTGTGCCCTTGGGGATGGTGTACCCGCCTAGCTCGCACGTTTGGCTAGGGCAGCGTGGCACTAGGAACGGCAGTGCTGGATGGAGCCGAAGCGTCTCCTTGATGACAGCTTCCAGGTAATTTAATTTGGGCAAATGAGATTCTTCGACGATTTCGTTTTGTCCGACAACTTCATTCAGTTCTTGGTAGACTTTTGCCATTGCATCTGGATATTTAACTAGTTGTGCCATCGTCCACTCCATCATGGTCGACGTTGTGTCTGTGCCACCCACCATAAAATCCTGTAGGGATGAAACTCAATCAATTATGTTTGCAATAAGTTCACCTTTTTGCGGAATAGAATTTAATATAAAAAAATATATTTACAAAGCAGTCAAAATCGGGATTTTACCTAAAATCGAAAACTGGGGTAAAATCGAAATCGTAAAATCGGAGGATTTTAAGTACCGTATAAAAATTAACATATAATAATATTATTAAGGTAAATCATTAATAACACAAAGACATATAACATTTAAAGTGATACTTTTCAAGATTAATGTTCTAAAATCATCATTTTAATTGTTATTTAATGCGTAACTCAAAATAATTTATGAGGAAGGGATAGAGCTCATGGGGTTTGACTCTTGTTTTTCATGTTGTGTCTAGGTAGTTTAACTCAAACTAGTATTCCGACATCGTCTACTAAGTATGATTTAAAACTAATAATAAGTGAACTCTAATAAAATAATTAATGTCATTGTTTTGGTACAAATATATTCATTAATCAATTAATTTTTTAATAATGATGTTAATTCTTACGTACTTATAATATTAATTATCACAACTGTTTTACCGATGAGTTAAACAAGGGGAAGGGAAAGGGGTTGACCGAACCCTAATTAGGTTAATTTTTTCTTTTCAAATGTTCTTTTAATAGGAAAAATATTTTAGAAGATCCCTGTCATTTCCCTTTTCACTGAAACAGTTCTGCTTCTTTTGAATTGGCTCAAACTTCCTATTTTGTTCACATAGGATCAAAATCCTGATTTTGGTACGATTTTAGGATTTTAACGATTTTAATCCCGATTTTGAAAGATTTTAAGGTCCACCAATGTTATAGTAAAATCAGGATCATGAATCTCTAAATAAAATCCTCAAATCCTACGATTTTACGATCAAAATTCCGATTTTGACTGCATTAATATACCATCAGTAGAGCTTTGACTTGATTGGTAGAGATATATGTTTCGCCACCGTCGCTGCCACCGCCGCGATTCAAATCCAACAACACTTGCAAGAAGTCCTTCCTCACCGTGCCGCCGCTCTTTTCGACGGCTCTCAACCGCTCCTCTATTGCCGAGCTCAGGATCTCGTCGAACTTGCTCAACAACCTCTTGGACTTCTTCTCAATACCCTGCAAATCAAATCTGGCCAGTGCCGGAATAAAGTCCGACACATTCGGCGCACCCATCAGCATCAGCATCTCCGATTCCAACTCCCTAAGCTCACCGTAAAAGCCCTCGTGGTTCCCTGCCACTCCTCCCCACAACATGCTGAGAATGGCGTTCGCCGTCGTTTTGAAGGCTGTTTCGCCGAAGTCCAACGCCGCACCAGAAGATCTCTTGTACACCTCTTTGACGGAGTTTCTTACCTGCTGCTTCCTTAGTCCATAGCATTCCTCCCGACTGGCCACACCGTACATCTCTCTCACAAAGACCTGCGGGAAAAAGGAAAAAAAAAAAAAAAAGATTCATGTTTAACAAGGTTGGTTGTCCAATTACCTTAGCCAATCGACTACCTCTCGTACACGTTTTTACTAAATTTAAATATGAGGAAAAGGTTAGGATGCTAGCACCTAATTTGTTAACACTTAACATGATACTAACATTAGTTTCACTCAATAGAATATTTCGTTTGATGATTTTTTTGTTTTATTTCTAAGAGGTTGATCACTATTAATGCGAATTTATAAAGGGAGGGGATGCATTAAGTATATTTGAAAAAATAATAGGAGGGAACAAGCGTGTGGATCAGTTGCTCATTTGTTATGTGTCCTGTTCTCACCGCAAGTATTATTAATATCATGCAACAAAAGAGAGACCAGAAACACAATAAATTACATCATAAATAAAATAAAGTAGACCAGAAAGCTTATAAAACAAACCAAAAAAGTTACCACACTATAAAATTTATAAAGCATACACAAAAACTCAAAGCTAACCAGAAGTTTCTTAAAGAAATCGAACTCATAAAGTATATCACCAGTTCCTCGAAGCATACCATATGTTATAAACGCGGTGCTACGGATCGGGAAATCGCCGGAATCGATAAAGCAAGAATACGAAAGCGAGAATCGAAAAACACAGACACATGATTTACGTGGTTCACTAACACGATGTGTGTTAGCTAGTCCACGGGCGAGAGAGAGCCAGTTTCACTATATCGACTATCGAGGAGATTTAAGATTTCAGAGGAGTATGAGAACTATTTATAGTACTTCTCCATGTGGGTCTAAACCTAATCCAATCTGGCAAAGGAGACGGTTACAGACCAGGCCCAGAACCCGAACCCAAATAACATTGAGTCCATACACCGCGGGCGGGGGGCGTTGCTAGAACCCAAATAACAGCAAGACCCCCGACTACCAGTCGTAGCGGCTGATAGTTCGATTCAAGTCACATCAACACCTTAAATATCATAAACAAACCACTACTTTCTTGAAACATACTAGAAACCTCATAAACATACCATAAGCTCCATGAAACAGATACAAAATCTGATAAAACATACTACAATTTTTTTGAAGTAAACCAAAAATCTCATAAAGCGAATCACAAGTTTTTTGAAGTAGATCAAAAATATATGCAACCACATCACATCTCTAATGAAACAAACTAGAAAGACGATAAAGCGCATCATAAATCTCACGAAGCAAATGATCAAAATCTTTATAAAAGATGATACAATCATACGGTAATAAACAATTATAATGGTGAACCAATTTTTTCCCCCCAAGTAACTGGCTGTTTATTTATGAATTGATAGTTACTATAATTTCCTTGATGAATTATATTAGTATGGGTTTACCACTAAGTTTGTTACCACGGTCATAGTAAATTTCAAGTTCGACAGTTAAATTTTGGTTTGCAAAAAATTAGTTAAAACTTTCGGCCGAAAATTAGGAGACGATAAAATTGTACTCAAGTATTTTCAATAAATAAACCTTGCGGAGCTTCTTCCAGACCGGGCCGTAGTTTGAGAATGCCACGTCATGGCCGCCGTACATTAGCACCAGGGCCGAGATGGGCGGGTCCCGGTCGGAGAAAACGGCGTCCATGTCCCTAACGATCTCTTTCGCTAGGGAAGGGGAGCTGACCACCGCGCAGAGCTTCGTCCCGAGCCGCAGCGAGTAGATTGGGCCGTAGGTGGCGGCGAGAGCGGTGAACTCGCGGTGGAGGTGAGGCCCAAGGAAAGGGAGGTAACCTACCAGCGGCAACCCTGTTGGGCCGGGAGGGAGTGGGGCCTGCTTTCTTCTGAGGAAGTGGGAAAGGAGGAGCCCCGTCGATAGCACCAGAAGGATTGCTGTTACGATGAAGTAGTTGGCGCTGATGCTGTCTCCTTTTACTGCGGCTGTGCACCATGGCCGGAAGGAATAAAGCATTCGGGAGAATGGAAAGTTGAGAACCATGTTGGCTTTGACGTGTGTTTGTTGCTGTCTAAGGCTAATGATGAAATGAGTCTTATTGTTGCACTTGCGGGCTTTGTGGCCTATATAGAGGTAAAGGGAATGGAAGGCTGGAAAACGACGAGGAGGTTTGCGATTTGGGGCAAGTCCATTTCCAAACAGCTAGCGATTCAGCCTAATTGTTAAGCCGCTGCTCCCTTTCCTAGGTCCTACGTCGCAATGTATGCTAATGGGCAGGCATTAATGGTAATTAAAGATGATATTAAATCATGTGCTCTTGTAATCTTCAAAATTTCCTTTACCTACTATTGCAAACCCGTTTCATTGTTCCTGTCATTTGGACCATATCAAACCGAAAATGATGTGGTTTGGTTCTTGATTCTAAGAAATTTATAGTTATTCAAAAAAAAAAAAAAAAGACCAAATAAACATTTGGACTGAATGCAATATTAGCCCAGTCATTAGTCCTAAGATGTCATTCACTATTGGACGACATTTTTCATGAGTTTGGTACGATCGGATCTGACCGGATCATTGCACACCCATAACCATATTAAACACATATAATACCAATATAATACATTTAATGTTCATATTTTATTAATTAAATTGATAATTCACAAATTATTATAATTCAAAAATTATTATATGTTTTGGACATAATTAATCTAATTTATTTTGTGATAATTAACATGCTACTAGACGTATCATTCATTTTAAAACAAAACAAAATACTCATATATCATATATGCAACTTATTCGTATAGTATTTTTCTTAACACGAAAAATAATGTTTTGCGGCAGTGATAATTTGTCGCCATAAGAAAAATATCCAGCTCTTTACATACCGTTTGGTATTAATGAATTCCATAAGTTTTATGGAATTCATTTTGAAATGAAACATTTTTGTGTTTGGTATTTAAAAGAATTCATTTTCAATTCTAAATTTTGAATTCTATGGAATTGGAACTAATTATAGCAATTCCCAGGAATTGAGAAGGAATTTCCAAATGAATTCCACAAGTATTTACTAATTATAATAGAATGATATAATTATCCTCTTTTATTAACTAAATTACTTATACATATGACATACCAAACACATAAATTCATTTGACAATGAATTCTGCACCGCAATTCATTTTATTTTTAAGGATTTGAATATGACATATCAAACACATAAATTCATTTGACAATGAATTTTGCACCGCAATTCATTTTATTTTTAAGGATTTGAATATGACATACCAAACACAAGATTTCATTTGACAATGAATTCTACAGGGTAATTCATTTTAAAATAAAATGAATTCTTGATTTATTTGGTACCAAACGGTTTGTAAAACCCTTTAAAGCATAGTTGTCACCACCGGTATGACCGTCATGATCGATATATGAATCTCCAAGTAAATTGATCTTATCTTAGTGAATTTAATTGATAAAAAGTAATTTATTACTTATTTTATGTATTAAAAAGTTAAATGTTGATGTTATTTGTTGGATTCAAGTACAAATATTTAGGTATTGACGTTAAATGTCGTGTTTAAAAATAAGTATTTTAAAATTATTTGTAATATTAACCGACATGAACCGGCATAAACCGGTATATACCACCGATCGAACCATTCGATTTGCTAAATTAGCACACTAGCCCAAACTGATTTGACAACCTTGCTTTAAAGGCACATAAATAAGTGATCATGACGCAACCACCATTTAGCACCTTTTCCATTCTCCGAAATGGACCTATAAATTATAATCCAACTATATCAACGGAAGCATAACCTCCCTCGCCATTTGGGCTGACAACACCGGCCTATTGGACCGTCAAATGGTTATTTATGTTGATCTACTAGGCCGTCAGCCCAATTCATAAAGCCCACACGTAAGGATCCACGTTACATCTTCCCTGAATATAAAACCCAAACCGCAAAAACAAGTCACTAGGTCACCCCGTTAACTCTTTCTACTCGTTTCCCAGCTTTCATCTTCTTCAGAGCTTCAACGCCGCAGCCTCGCCTCCTAATCCGTCGGAAAACCCGCCGCTTCCTTCCACAATGGGTCGTATGCACAGCCGCGGGTTTGCTTCTTTCTCTATCTCCCTCTCCGTATCCCATTTCTATGGCGTAATTTGTTCTGATCTCGTTTCTGTTTACCAGGAAAGGCATCTCCGCCTCTGCTGCCAAGTACAAGCGCACTCCCCACAGTTGGCTCAAAACAACTGCTCAAGATGTAAGCTCCGCCGTTTCTTCCTTTTTCCTTCAATTTCTCATCGTTTCCCTGAGTTCACTCTGTTTGTTCCGAATTTTTCTAGGTCGAGGAGAACATCTGCAAGTTCGCGAAGAAGGGGCTATCGCCGTCACAAATCGGCGTGATCCTCAGGGACTCCCACGGTATTGCTCAGGTGAAGAGCGTTACGGGGAACAAGATTCTTAGGATTCTGAAAGCCAGCGGAATGGCGCCGGAGATCCCCGAGGATCTTTACCATATGATAAAGAAGGCTGTGGCTGTCCGCAAGCATCTGGAGAGGAACAGGAAGGATAAGGATTCCAAGTTCAGGCTGATTCTGGTGGAGAGCAGAATCCACAGGCTCGCCCGCTACTACAAGAGCACCAAGAAGCTCCCTCCCGTCTGGAAATAGTGAGTTTTTCCTTTCTGTACAGCCATGGCCCATGTTCCTCACTTATCAGAATCTTATCTTCAACTTTGCAATGACAGAAATTTTCCCCTTGTGTTGAATTGAGAAGTGTGATTGGATTTATCTCATAATGGAATGAGAGCACGGTTGTGATAGTGAGGCATTTTGTGAGTGTTGTTATGGGTTATTGAGATGATCATAGAGATAAAGGGTTCTTCCATGGAGTAATGGAGGCAGATATTTTGATGATCATTTAGAGACGAGGGTTCTTCCACTGAGTGATGGAGGCAGATATTGTGCATGATAGCTCGCTGTTTTTGTTGAGGAACAAGAATCTTGATCTCCTTTTGCTTCTACTATGGCCAGCTACTTAGAAATAGTAGCATAAAAGAACCAGAGCTGAATGAGGGCTACAAACTGCCTCTCTATTCTGGCTCGGTAGCCATAAGTATAGTTGAACTGTGTGAATGAGCTATGTTTTTAACTCTTCTTACTTCTGCAAGATGAACCAGATCAATGAGCTAAATTTTTTGCTGTTTTTACTTCTGTAACATGTACTTCGATAGCAAAACATTTCATCTGGTGCATGATATTTCCAATTAGATGACATCTTGGCTGAATCTTTTTAATAGAAATGGCTTATATTACATGACTTGCATTGCTGATATTCCTTTTTTCTCTTTGGATGCAGTGAGTCAACTACAGCAAGTACTCTGGTTGCTTAGGTTGCAAGACAAGGACAACAGCTGGGTAGAGGAGTGGAGGTTTTGTTGCAAATGTGCTAATGGAATCTGTTGCTGACAACCATGAGAGACCTTGTAGATGGTTTTTTGAGGGTTTAGCGATGGGTGCTTTCTACAAGTGCATTAACTTGCTGTTCCTTTTGTTGTTTCCAGTTACAGGCATCTTGTTCTTCCTTTCTTGTATGCTGGGGGCTTTTTGCTCCAACAATTATAAGCTACATTGAGATTCCTTTTTGTGTTACTATGACTTTCAGAATTCTGTAACTTAAAAATGAATCATTCAGCGTAAAATGAAATTTTGAGAATAGATTTGTCAGACATTATGCCTCCATGGTTATTCTTTGAAGATAGGTAATGATTATGGTCTATGAGGAAACGTGAACCCTACCATTTGAATAGAGTTCCTCGTCCTATGAATAGCATAGCAAGAACCTGATGAGACTTTTGTCTTTCACTTTCTCTGAGCTTGGAGACTTTGTCCGGAGACCGAAGTTGTTAAACCGGTTTAAGTCATTGAACTTGTCAAGTAAAGGGTTTGAGGTTTAATGGTCTGATCGAGGTCTGGCCAGTTTGAGCCGTTTTAGACGTTTTCTAAATATATATACAAATAAGATAGTAATTAAAAATTTAATGACTGAACAAAAATTTATCTTACATATATCTATTGAAAACTAATTTTTTACAAAATAAATCCACCTAACCTCCATGATCCACCCACCATCTCCCTTCCTTTGTTCCTCTTCCTCTCTTCCCCCTCTCTTCTCCATAATTAGAGGTCAGATCTAGGGGCTTTCTGGAGGCCGTTTTGAAGTACGACTTGGGTCGGAGCGGGGGTTCGATAAGGGTTTAACAACCTTGCCGGAGACGTACTAATACGAGTTCATATTTTGACAACCTAAATGCAATCCTAGCTTGTTGAATATCGAATATCAATGTTAAAAGTATTCTAATGGATTAGGGTGTCACTTGCAGCTAGGGGTGGGCATCTGGTTCGGTAAACCCGAACCAAGCCGAACCTATCCTAAACCGAATTGAAACGGAACTATTACTATTCGGTTCGGAATCCGGAAATAGAATATGGGTATTTCGGAAACCAGGGTGGTCATACCGAACCCAAAATTCCAAAACCCGAACCGAGAACCCGAACTATATGTCCAGCCCAGTCCCCACAATTCGGTTCAATTTCGGTTTGGACCATAGGAAAAGTTCGGGGACCCAATATGCTCCATTTCGGTTCGGTGAACCCCTACTTGCAGCCAGCTTCCTGAAAAGAATAAAACAATGTAATAAAGTACAAACAATAAGGCAAACTAAAAGATAAACTTGTGAAGCCTTACAGTTCAAACAAAGCCTATTTGTAAAAGTAGTTTAAAATCGTACGATTTACAAATGGTCTGGCCGGAATCTCATGGAAACCACGAACCTAACTGAAAACTTATGAAAGAACCATTGAACGCCAAATTTACAACAATGCCAGACATGGGAAAACATGGGTTATGTGCAAAGCAACACCACTACCAAACACCAGATTCTAAATTCGTTCGCACTAAATCGCTTGTAGAAAATTCAAAGCAGCAGCATGCACACCCATCGTCGCTACATTAACATTTGTCTGGAATCCCGACCATAGTTCAAACTAATGTACACATATCCCACGTAAGAAGCAACCAAGTGATGAAGAAATGCCGCCATTGCACCATAACTCCGTGCGGCCAAAACATCCTTGTTGAGGAGCTGATCAGCACTGGTGGGTGGTGATTCGGAACTCTCTGGAGGAGGCAAAGGCAGCGGATCACTACCTGAAGAAGAGCTTGCTGCAGAGTTCCCTCCATCTTTCGATGGACCATGTCGGTCTTCTTCTTCCTCCTCTTCATCTTTCTCTTTGCTTTGACTTCCTCCAGTCCCACTTCCAGGTGGAATGCCCCTCGCCATCACAGGTTGAGGTTCTACCCCAACTCGCCTCAGGTGCAACTGCAAATAATTGTGCAACCATGAGATATCAGTAAAAGATGCTTCCTTGTCCGTTGAGCTAGTTAGTTACAGTAGATTATTGACCTGGAGATGCAAGTTGACTTCATCTGGCCGTGAAAGAAATGGGAAATCGCCACCGCTCTTCAACTGAGCTCGCCGTGCCTCCGGGTACCTCTCGCTCAACTGATCCTTCAGTTGCTGAGGTGTCGCACAGTAGTCATTCGTCTTTTAAGGAGTAAGCAATAACCAAAAGACAGCAGTGAGAGGGGGAAACTAGCATTGTATATACAACAAAGTTGGCTAGCAGCTGGAACAGGTTCAGGTAAAACTCACATCCATGATGGTGATGAATTGATCAGAAAGGAGAAGAGATCCAACCGATGCGGCATCAACATTCAAAGTTAGCCTTGATGCTAGATCATCCTTTGAAAGTGTTTCGACCTGATGAGAAGCATTGGCAAGTAAGTTTCAAACTGGAGGATAGTAAATGCGTAAATACACCAAATGGTTTTGACTGTACCTGAGAAACAACAAAGTCTACTGAATCTGCAATAAAAGGTTCATGGGGCCCATCTTGAATCCCAGTCAAGACATATCGTTTGAGCAAAAACGAAGGTGTCCAACTAACACTGCAGGAACCATGAGTACTTTGGAAGTTAGTTTTTCGATGAAGATGTATATCTAAGTATACTTACGAAATCAGTATGAATAGTATAAGAACCATTCTCCAGCAAGCTAGGAACCATTTAAGCAACAAAGGTATTCTATAAGAAGTTCATTAAAAAGAAGGTCCATCTATGTATCATTAAAGTCACGACACTTTTAATATTAAGAAAATTAGTGATGAACGTAAAAATAGAAAGTGAGCAAAGAAAAATCCATTAGCCACATCCAATCGATTATGCTTTGACCATCTGGAGGATGAAAATCTTTAGGTGATAAGTTCATGAATTTAGATTCTGTCCTATATGAAAACACCACAATTTTCCATGGCAGAGATATATGATCATAGCACTTACAAAGGTGCCCATGGCATAGCAGCTGCGAAACTCCGATTATCCAAAAATGTATTTGATAGGACCAATGATTTCACTCGCCTTGGGCGATGCTGAGCAAATATTTGAGCCAGGAAGCCTCCAAGAGATGTACCATAGAGGTGCATCTGTCATATTTACAATAAAATCAGTTCATCTAATAGACGAGGTAAACATGATTGTGCCATGAAAATGAAGGACAGCAAGAATTTGTTGGCCTCGAACAATTCAAAAGCATATGCAGCATAAATATAGGAAGAGAGAACAAACTGTTCAACAAAAAGATAAACAGAGAACAAAAGCTTATTGAGAAAGATTCTTACATGATGAACATTGATGACATCTAAAAACTTATCAAACGCCTGAATCCATTCCATATGATTCCAAACGCGTGGAATATCAACAGCGATCACCCTATAACCCTGAAAATTTTTGAACATGTTGTGAAATACAATCCAAAGGCCTTTATATTGAATAAGTAATGAATCATTAGTTCCACATTGAAGAAATTCTAAATCAACATGCATCCACAAATCTACAAAATACCAACAGATTCCATATATGATAGATGATAGGATGATAAAAATCCACCCTAAAGCATTTGTGAAGTTTATCCAGACAAGAATCAGAAATCCAAAAAATAACCCGAGAAACGCCAAGGCCAAAGCATCATTCCTCCGCTGGCTTTTAAGCACGTGGATGGAGCATTATAGTATCTAATGACTAATATGATATCATCTCCAACACTCTGATGTGATATATCAGCCTGTTGCTAGAACTTCTTCCGAGATACAATTGAACCATTCAAATACCAACTCTGTAGACAGTTGAAATAACATAGCAAGACAGCTCGAAAATTACCTTCATGGACAATGCCATAATCTGTTTGTAGTAAACATCCGCGGTTCCTGCTATCCCAGGAAGACATATCAGCGGAGCCACCGTTTTGGGACCAAAATCATAGTACCGCCACTGCTTTGATCCAATCTATATGAGGAAAACAAAACATGAAAGAAGGGAAGAAAGCACATTTTAATCAAGAACCGACACTACAAGATACCAAGCTAGAAAGAGGAAACCTATTGTGCTACAAAAGAACAAGATCAGCAGACAGCAGCAGAATATCAGAACACCATCCAGAGACTCCATAGTTATGATACGATAATGCCGGACGAAAAACCCTTTGCAACTTATAAATTGACCAGGAAAGAACGCATGCCCATTTTAATGAATTACTCTCAAGCCAAATCTCCCAATTCTAGTACAGACTACCAATCCGAAGTAGGAGCTAGAATCAACTTCAACACATACAATGCACACACCCAGATTAAGATGATCATGGGCAATCCAGCAGAAGATAGACTTCGTGAAAAAAGAAGTGTGCAGCCAACCCTCTACCTAGCTGGAAGTAACTAATAATACCCCAAAATCCAATTTCCCATGAACCTAGCAACAAAAGATGGGAAATTGAGAGATGAATGGGAATTGGGTATTCAGGACTTACGGGGATCTTATGGAGAGGAACTTGGGACTTGAAGTGGACATAATCTCCCGGCGCCGCTAAGACGCCTTTCATTGCTTTACTAATTCAATTCTTCCACCCGCTTCCTGGCCGATCGGGGATGAGAAAGCCTCACATCGGGAAAAAGGGCATAGCTTTTTAATTTGCGAGAGGGGAGGAATCGATCACTTGATTGTTGGGGTCGCCGGCAGAAACAAAGCAATGACCTTTGTTCCTTCTGTTTTTCAGTTTTCTCGCGCTAACTCTCCCTCTCTCTCTCTCCCCCCGCTATGATTGATCGCCTCGCCGGGCCAGACTGGCTTTACGGTATTTCTCTCTTCCGCCCCCACGCACGTGCCTTGGGTTTAACATCCAGCCTACGGCGGCGTTTTGCACCTGCTAGTCCGCCAGCGACTTAGCGTTGTAATTTGTGATAGGATTTCTTTTCATTTTCTAACAAGTAATTATTTTTTGGGTTAATTACATAGTTGGTCACTGAGATTACAAAAAATGTTCATGTTTGATCACTCGAAATATTTAAATCTATTGATGGTACTTCACTTTCCTTAAACCGTTCACGTTTGATCACTCTCCGTTAGTCGCCGTCCATCTCCATTAACTGCGTCCGTTAAGTGATGACATGGCGGATGGAATCATCTAGTCCATCCTATTTAAACCAAAAATAGGGTGACGCGACCCGCCATGTCACTGAGACCCTCCATGTCATCTAGACCAACCTTACCCTCTAACCAGACCCGACCCGACCCTTAAACTAAACTACCCATATACAAATTAAATACCTAATTTCTAAAACAGATCTCCACCTTCCACTTTTCAATCGTGTGAAGCCTTCCTTCCTGAACCATCCCCTCATCAGAACACTCCTCCTCAAAGCTACTGTCGTCGTCGCAAAGTCCCCAGCGCCGACGCCGCTGGTCCAGCGCATCTGCAAGTCAACCGCCGACTATGCCTTGTGCGTGGAGGGGCTATACGGCGACAACCAAAAGTGGCTGGAGCGGTGCGAATCAGACTACGACACCGTCATCTTCCTAATTAGGTTTTGGTTTCAATTCATTCGCATTCTTCCTCTACCTTTTTCTTCCTTCTTCCTCTACCTTTTCCCAGATTCCGATCTATTGCTACCTATTGTGTTTGATCCCTCTCCTTCTTCACCTTGGTCATGGAGAAGCACATATAAGCGATCAGTGGTCTATTTTCCTCCATCCCTCTGTTTTTAGAATATTAGGTGATCTCATTTTGTGATAAAAGTGAACAAATCTGGGTTCTGATTTAATGAGTTTGCACCATCTACTACTGTTCACTCCCATGGTTAAGCGAAGAGACGTGATCTGGCCTTGTTTCATTTCAGTACTTTTCTTGATTGATTCGAATCGAGCCGGATGCAGAGCAAGAAGGCGGCGAATTGCTAGGGAGAAAGGGCGGCAGTGATTGCTGCGGAGAAAGAATGACAGGGGAGAAAGGGTCGGGTCGGTTCAAGGGTCAGGTCTGACTGGTTATAGGGTAAGGTTGGTCCAGATGACGTGGCGGGTCGGGTCACTCTTTTTGGATTAAATAGGGCTGACTAGATGATTCTGTCCGTCATGTCATCACTTAACAGACACTGTTAACGGAGATGGACTGCGACTAACGGAGAGTGACCAAACATGAACGGTTTATGTAAAGTGAAGTACCACCAATGAATTTAAATATTTCGAGTGACCAAACATGAATGTTTTTTGTACGTAGTCTCAGTGACCAACCATGTAATTAGCCCAATTGTTTTTAATTGGAGTTTGTTGTTTGTTTCCTTTTTGGATAATAACTTATTTTGACCTGAACTTCTAGGTAAAATATAATTTTGGCATGCAGATAAGATAGTAGAATCTGAGTTTTGAAAGAAAATGGACAAATATGGTTCAAAATTTTAAGTTTGAAGGTTAATATTGATGGTCAAATATTTTTTATTTATTTATGATTCAACATACAATATTGAGGTGGTTGTGCGTTAGCTTCCACGTCATAGGGATAATATCCTATTTTGAATATATACTTTGGATCTCCTTTTAAGAATTTATAAGAAAATAAAAGTTAAAAGCTAGGTATTACCTCCAAAATTCACAATTCCCCTCCCTCACTATGCTAGACTTATAAATTTTGTCCTTAACATCTCTAATGCTAGTCTTCAATACTAGATCTACCCCAATTCCTTCACTAGAGCTCTAGCAGCAATGATGGGATTTGGAGGTGGATTTGGGGGTCAAAACTCAAACGTGTCAGGAAAACTGAATGTTTTAGGGGTTGTTTGTTTGGGTGATTTGATGATGGATTTGGAATCATCATAGACTTTGTCCAAATTCCATTGTTAGATTGATGTATTTAGGAACCACAAATCTACGAGCTACACAAATTTTAATGGTCCAAATCCGTGAGGTTTACATACTTGAAAGTTTCACCATTTTAGGTGGGAATCGATCATGGATTTTCAAGTCCATCATTTATGATCAATTTGCTCTTCCTATTTCCTTTATGTTCTCATACTAATAAGGGCAATATATGTCAATTGCACTTATTCATACAAATCTACTAACCAAATCCTTCATGAAATCTATGAAACAAACAATATTATTTTACAAGTTCATAAAAACCCAAAACTCTCAAGCTTGAAAGCACACAGAATGGTAAACCACTGATCTTTTTGCCAAAATTGAGTTCCCTACTTACATGAGAAACTAACATAATTCTAAACTTTTGAGTTCCCAAATGCCATTCATCAAGTTGGAGTTTTGGGGACGCAATTGCAAAGTGGGAAATTAAAGTGGCCAATAGAAGAAAGCCAGCTGCTCTGCTTTGCTGCTAAACTGGAAAACGAAAGGCAACTGAAGAAGAGATATGCGCCACTACTTCAAGTTCAAGTTCAACCACTGAGCACTGAATGGGTGAAATGGGAAAGACGTACTGCCAAAGAATACGTGCCAACCACTACAGCAGAAGAACCGCCATTTTCGTAACTTACTCCCCTGGAGCTTAGTTTAGTGACCTAGTTTCGGATTGGATGTATGATGATGGATGACAAACGAACTGTGTAATGGACAACGCAACTAGCTAAAACGAAAAGCACTGGTTTGCTCCAGTTGCAATGGTGATCATGTAATCCACATAGAGATCCCACCACTGGATATATGCTTTTGTATAGAGATAATAATGATGAATGACAAGCCATTCTATTCGTAATCCATGTTATCGTCGGCTTCTTTTTCGAAAAGATAAACAATGTTTTCTTCTTTAATGAATAAAGGTTAATCATGTGATTCATGTAGGTGCTCTTGTTTAACTTTCATATATATAAAGTTAGATACAGATTACAGTTGCCTAAGAACTTTTTAACTCTGCATCATCGTTTATGACTAACCAATTATGTATTGACATGTGGATATAAGGGGGAAGAAGAGGCCATTTTCTTTTCATACGTTTCTCCTTGAAAGACACAATGAAATCGCATTTCTACATGGAGTTCTTCATTGATCAAATCAAGGGAGAACGGTTATCACCAATGGCGGAGGGAGAGGGTAACATGGCGGGTCCCGGGACCCACCCTGATTCGGGAGAAAAATGGTTAAATTAGGTACGATAATTAATTGATATAAAAAAATTAGATCACATTTAATTGATAATAGTAGTTTTGTGTTTGAATCTAATACGATATACATATTTGTGCAAACTTCAATTTCGTATAAGTTGATTTTCTTATGAAGGAGCATGCTAGTAAATGGTATCATATATATTATTGAATCTCTTCCAGCAACTCGATTTGTTGATACTAAATGTTTTTTTACAAAGAACATTATTCGAAAGCTAAATCATGAATTATTGATTGGTGTAATATTTATTATTAAACCTCTATCAACAACTCGATTTATTGATACTAACGGTTCTTTACAAAGAACTTCATTTGAAACAGTACGAGTGTACGACTAACTAAATCAATAATTGTTTGGTACACAGAATGATATTCTTGATATTTTTTTTTACTACTAATGCATTTTAATTTACCAAAAAATTTTAATTTAAGATTATTAACAAAAACTATTTTATCATCTGTACTTTTTTTAGGTGGACCCACCTTAAACGAAATCCTGGCTACGCCACTGGTTATCACCCATTCCTTCCTATTTTTATATATTTCTTTCTTTTATACTAATTGAGAACTTCATAATTAATTATTTGGGAATACCGGTAAAATTAAAAATAATAAATTAGTACTATCTACAGTAACTTGAATATAATTTGAAGTTATGTAACTTGCATGAATCTATATCGTTAAAATATATAAAATTAAATTACACCGTCGATTACCAACAATAGTAATCGGGAGTACTGTAAGGTCATCAGTAATTGATCTTTTACAACTGCTACGTAAAATATGCATACAATACATAAAGTTTACGGAATGACAATTGTTTCTTACGTAACAGTTAAATCAGAAGCGTTACATAAGGATTTCGTAATGACTTATCACTGTATGTGACGCGAGGTTAACATCATTACGTAAAAGGACCTTGCATTACTTAAGGCTTATGTAATGACACTTTACAACTGCTACGTAAATACACATATATTATGTAAAGATTATAGAACTATAGTTATTTATTACATAATACTTAAATTAGAAACATTACGTATGGGCTGTGTAATGATCGATTTATCACTTTACGTAATGCGAGATTAACATTCATTACGTAAAAGGATAGTACATTACGCAATGCTTCCTTAGCGACCTATACAATTGTTACGTAAGATAAGCACACATTTCATAAACATTATATAATAACTATTGTATTTTACGTAATGCGACATGTGAAACCTGCTATAACAAGTAAAAATATTCAAGTTAGCTAAAGCAAGAAATTTCTAAAAAATTATTATAAGGATTAAAATCATGCCAAAAAGCCCCCAAAAAAGCAAATAACGTAGATATGAGCCAGCAACCGATAACATCACCGTTTCTTGCCATCCGCAGCATAGCGCGGTTCAGTTCTAGTTATATTATATAAAGCTCAATCCATGTTACTGTTGCCTATACTTTTACTCTTATTGGTTTTTTTTCCATGCATATGTTTTCACATTTTAAGATTTTGCAACTTCCACATAATTCATAGTTGTACTTTTTTTGCATGAGATATTTGGATTCACACCTGTACTAAAAAATATTTCTTAATTTGAGAGTTGTGAACTTCTGATAATGTTGTAACTGTGGAAATAAATTTGCAACGGTGGTATCCACCCGAATCTGACTTAATCAGATAGGGTAAAATCTGAACTCGAGTGATTTTTAGTGGGTGTGAAAATTTTTGAATCTGAATATTACATTAATTGGTGGGCATGATTTTCTCACTATGCAACCCAAATATGCTCAATTATACACCTGCATATATATTTTTTTTCTAGAAAGCTCATTATTTTTCTCTATAACCTTGATATTTATTATACATATATAATATTTTCGTGCAGTTGTTTTGTTTTAACTAATTTTCTTCATTTTAGTGATTTTTATTGACGTGCGCAATGTCATTATACGAGTGAATGTTAACATGTTGGTTAGATTTATATATAAAGAAAAATTATTACCCATGGATAACACGTGAAAACCCGAATCATCGAAAATGGGCTCGGTTTTAATTTTCTCCTCGATCCTTCTGTGAGTATGAGTAAACCAAACTATTCTAGGTAGGATAATGGATATGCACTATCCGCCACCAACACGATCAATTTCCATTCCTAATTTTCATTAATCCTTTTATGTTATGTCATCGTATTAGACTCATGTTACCAATCAAAATTCAAAATTAGATTAAATTTTTTGATAAATAAACTTCAAAATTAGATGTCTTAAAGACTACTTTTAAAATTAGGTGAATAGTATTTACGCATTTTTGTAATGTAAGATGTAATGATATTAGGTTATTAAAACAAAATAATACACACAAATGACTAACCAACAAAGTAAAAAATTAAAAATCAACCGCAGGCCGTTGCAGAGCTCGGCTGCCACCTAGCTAGTTTATATATATACTAGATGCGATGTTGCGCCTTGTCGCGGGACGGAGATGGCTTATGAACATGTATTATGTGGCCTGTTATGGTGTTTTGTTAGTATTATTAGCCTAAAATTAATTTTTTATTAGTAGTTTTGTTAGTAATATTGACTGAGAAGAGATTTTTAATGGTCAACATTCAATTTATTTTTTTTATTTTTTTCCTAATAAATGATATTTACCTAAATCCAAATAGACCCATTGATTATGGGAAGTGAATGAGTGATTTATATATAGGTTTGGAAGTATGTAGATGGTTTTGGGTAGGGTATGGATATTTACTTTAATATCCAAATGTGTATGAGTTGGGTATGGATACCTATTTATTCGAGAGTATTTTAATTACACATACAAAAATTAGACTTATTTGTAGGACTTCAAAATTTTAGGTACCAAAATGTAATACACAAAAAATTTAGGTACTAAAATGTAATATTCCATCAATTTTTTGATGACTTATATGCCTTAAAAATAAATTTAGGTTATTAATCTAAAGATCTATTGAGTTTAGATATCGAATTGTAATTTGCGTAGTTGAGGTCTAATTCCTTTTATGATTATGTATTTAAGATGATAAATATTTACTTTTTTATAGAAAAATGGAAAATATATATTTGAAATGTGTAGATATCTAGCCAAACATTCTATGTATAAATGTTGAAAATTCTAGCCTGGTGAAAAAGAAAAACTCTAAAGAGAAGCAAAAGGAATACAAACTGGAACTTGCTTAAAATTTCACGCCTTCAAATTCAATAGTAGAAAATAATGAATTTCTAATAAGTAATAACCATATATCTTTATTTTTAATTGAACTCGACATTGAGTTGAAAAAGTTAGTGGTTCATGGTTCAATTATAAATTCTCTAGATTGTTAGTGAGTTATGTATGGACCCGTTCACATAGTTAGTAAAATACAGTACGGGAAAGTTACGTAAAAAATACTTACGGGTATTTTACGTCGTCTCTAAGCTAAAGGTACGTTTAATAGTATGTTAATATTAATAAATATATAAAAATAAATTATTTTAAAAGTAAATAAATATATAAATAATAGTAAAGTTCACAATTTAATTCATTAAATACGGATATTAAACGTGTTATACGGGTTTTATACGTGTTTAGTACGGGAGCAATCCAATGAACGGAAAAAATGAAACGACTTGACAAAAATACGGATACGGAAGTTTTAAACGGATAAAGTACGTACGGGTACATATACGTGTATTAAACGGAGTATTTACTAACTATGCCCGTTCATACTTATGATTACAAAATCCCACGAAAGACCAAAATGGTCGAATCTTCTCCTATAGTTGAGTGATACAACATCTTGCATGATACAAACTAAATTTATACTTTTATATTATTGTGGATTGGATTCATGGATTGATGGAATGGATTCATGGATTCAAATGAAATCTAAACATTCGACCAATATGTAAATTTAACAAATTGTAGGTACGAAAACTCATAAAATTAAGATACCAAAATATAATAGTTCAATAATTTTACATTAAAATTAAATATAGGATATCAAAATGTAAAATGTAAAATATACATTATAGTGACTAAGTTATAATTTAATTAAATTTGTGGTATCAAAATACAATTATTTGGGTAACAGTAAACCAACTTCACGTTTATATATATTAAAATAATGGAATCAAGTTATGTAAGTGTTCGTAGAGATACATTGGTGAAGCTGCAGGCTTTGAAAGCAAGTAGAATTAGAATCAAGTCTCTTCTAGACCAAACACCTAATTTGTAACAGATTCAATGAAGGAAGAAAAAAAAACATCTAATTGATGTTTTTTTATTCGCAAAAATTTGAGTTTCTTCACGTTATATTTGCGTTATTCACGTAAGTGTATTGATTATTCATGCAACTAATACTGTTAGGTCATGCAAGCTGGTATTTATTCCACGCATATTGTTATTCATTCATGCCGTTGTAAAATCAAATTTTAAACTTTGAAATATATCAAAATGGATGTCATTGTGTATATTATGATTAATGCAACATATTTTTACATATTAATTGAGAATCCAAATTTAATTTCATAAAATATAGCCAATACAAATTATTAGAGGGAAAAGTATGAATTTCCAATTACATGAATAACTTACACTCTTACGTGAAGCACCAAATGGCGTAAATAAGCACAAAAATAAGTGGAAAAGTTGGTTTTAGGTGTTTTAACTCTAGAGGTGACAAGAGAGCTTTTTCGTAGAATTAATAGATACTCCCGGTTTATACTCTCATTCTATTAAATTATTTTTTTTATCTTCTCTCTTCTATGTATTATGTAATTATCTTCATTGCTCTCTTTCTCTCTCCTTATATTTTAAGAGAGAAAATATTATTCTAATAGAACGAAAGTATACCCCGGAGTATGTAATAATCTCTCAAACGCAAACTATATATCTTTAAAATACTAAAATCACTTTCACTATAGGATTTAGGGAGTCGTGATGCTAATTATTACAATACTAGATGTTGTGGAGAATGTCAATAATCGACCGAGTAAGAAAGTCAACGTATATACATAATTGATTGTTCACTAGGGACGAGATTAGTTTCAAACCTTTATAGGGGTTAGCACGATGATAAGGATAACTAGTGTTCCAACCATAAGATTAAAATATAATCATGTGGTTAAAATAAAAGTAAGGTTATTTTATTTTAACAACATGATTATATTTTAACCATTGACCAAAATAACCCCAAACCTTATATGTTCTCTTCTTAATATTATTTCTCATCATTATAATAAAAATGTCCAAACCCCAATATATATTTAGATTTTTCCGATGTTCTCTAGACTTTCTGTCTTCCGTCTTCCCCTGTCTCCTCATCTTCTATACCCAGCCCCAAAAGACACCCTATCCTCATCATCTTCTTTCACCTCTCGTTTCCCCTGCAAAACACAAAAATTGGCCAAAAACTGAACCTTAGCTATCATAGCCAGTGTACTTTGTTTCTCCCCATTATCCTCCCTAAACAGAGTAACCTCGAACCCAAAAGAGAACCGGTTGAAATGGATATCAACGACTTAGCTGAAAGAGCAGAGCGCCTAAGCACCGAAAGAAGCAGCCCATCTCCATCTGGTGGCAGAGTCAACCGACCCCAACTCATCTCCAATGCTGGACGCGGCATTTCAATGCTGTTAGGAAAGATGCTGAGCGAGAACAAGATTGCTTTGGCGAAGGCAGCAGGAGCTGCACGTTACGCCTGGGGGAGATATGGAGAAGTTGGAGTTCAACCAACCCAAGCCCAGAACCTATTTATCTTCACCTTCAAGGATGCCCAAACACGAGAGAAGATCTGGCTTGAAAGGCCTTGGAGTCTATCAAACACAATGACAGCTTTGGAGAAGTACGAGGGAAGAGGAGAACCAGAAGCAGCTCCGATGAACAAGCTGGCAGTTTGGGTGCAGATCCATGGTCTTCACCAAAGCCAGAGATGTGAACAGAACGTAGTCTCCATCGGTACCTTCTACTTCAACAAATTCATTGATTTGGACAGAGCTAGCCTCCATTTCAACGGGTATAGAAGGTTTATTCGGATGTTGGCTGAGGTTGATCTCCGCGAGCCGGTCCCGACGGGATTTGATTTTCCATCCACTGTGGAAGCCACGGGCCAAGAAATCTGCGAAGTGATTTCGTTCAAGTATGAAAGACTGGTCGAGTTGTGTTACTTCTGTGGCAGAATTGGCCACAACTGGCCAACCTGTGATTGGATGAAGGAAGAAAGGAGGAAAGGGGGATATGTGCAGCTCTCGGAGATTTATACGGCGGAGCTCAAAGCAGGGATTGATTCGCCGTACAGATCGAGCGGAAGCAGGGGCAGGAGTGAAGAAGAGGAACCAAGATTCCCTAGCACTGACCCGGAATCTTGGAGGAAGCACTACAGCTCTGGTGATTCGTTTTTGGGCAGGGAAGGGGCGGGGGAAGCAGAGCGTTTCTCGTCTGGAGGCGGAGAGGGAAGCTATCCCCAAGTCCCACCTGGGTTCACAGTGAGGCGTTTGGAGGATGAAGCTAGGGCGGAAGAAAGAAGCGGGGTGGGGAGGATGAAGGGAAGGTTTAGAGAAGGGATGGGGGCGAGGGACTTATCGGCGGAGATGGAATCGGCGGCGGCGGCGTTCAGGGAGGCCTGCGTATTGAAGGGGAAGAGGAACGCAGGAGGCAGGCTGATCGAGCTTTGTTGGGCTCCCAACTTTCGCTTGGGCCTCAACCCTCTAACCCGCAAGCCCAAGTGAATGTTAATGTTGAGCCCAATTTCTCTAACTTGCAGGTCCAAGGTTCTTATCAGCATAACCAGGAGGAATTGGAAGGGGATGTGGGCCGCTTTTTTAAGAAAAGAAAAGGGCTCTCCTTCATAAGCCCAGGAGGTTCTGAATCTGGGCTTAATGATGGGGCTGACCTGAATCTGAGCCCATCAAATTCTGGTTTTGTTGAAGGGATGAGTGGTAAAGAAAGGAAGAAGAAACACCACAAAAAGAAAGCCCACATGATCAATGAGGAAAGTCGGGAGGATGAAGTTAGTGACTCAACGGCAGCGGTGGTTCGCCAAAAGCCACCTCACATTACATGAGTATTATTAGTTGGAATTGTAGGGGATTTGGCCAATCCCTTACGAGAAGTTATGCTAAACGTCTAGTAAGACGTCATGACCCTTCTATTGTCTTCTTAATGGAAACAAGCAAGGATGAAGTTTTCATGGAAGAGCAAAGAAGAAGTATCCAGATTTTCCCTAATAAGAAATATGTAGAACCGGTTAACTCGTCTAGGGGTTTTGCTTTGTGGTGGAAGGAAGGTATTAGTATAGATGTACTTAGCAGTGATAAGTATTATATGGATGTTAGTATCGACATGGGGGAGAAGTTCTTTTGCACCTTTGTTCATGCCCCAACCACTGCTGTTAGTAGGAGGGAGTTTTGGGAGCACTTGGGTTCCCTACGGAATAGTATGGAAGATAAATGGGTTATTGTAGGGGATTTTAACGCGGCCATCTTTGAGAATGAAAAGGAAGGACGATGCCCGCTTAGGTACGAGAATGTTGTGCCGTTCAAAAGGTTCATCTTTGATAATGCTCTTATTGATATCGGCTTCAAAGGTAACCCCTTCACATGGTCAAATAAACGTACGGGCCCAAATTTGGTCAGAGTGAGACTGGATAGGGTTTTGTGTTCACCATCGTGGAGATCAGTGTTTGGTGAGGCTGTGGTTTTTCATGAGAAGATGGTGGTTTCTGATCACTGCCCTATTAGAATTGACCTCCACTCTTTGGGGAACAGGAGAAGAAGAACTCCTTTTAGAGTGGATGAAAGATGGCTGGAGAAAGAGGGATGCAACGATATTATATACAGGGAATGGGACCCAGATGGGTCTTCTAGTAATCAACTGAGCAAATGCCAGAGTGAACTGAAAACTTGGTCAAAAGAGTTTCACAAGAACAGTATCCTCAGGGAGAATGAAATTATTTCCAGACTTGAGACTATCCAAATTCCTCCAAGGAGTATTGATAATGTTGAAGAAGAGAAGAGCCTTACCGCGGAACTTACCAGATTATGGCTGGAGGAGGAAGCTTTTTGGAGTCAATGCTCTAGAGTCAATTGGCTTCAAAAAGGTGACCAAAACACCTCCTTCTTCCACTCTAGCACTATCCATAGAAAACATAAAAACAGAGTCCTTCGTCTTAAAGATGAGATGGGGAATTGGGTGGATGATGTGAGTAGGCTGAAGGATATGGCAATAGGTTTCTACAAAGAGCTTTTCAAAGCTAGGCCAAATGTTTCCTTTACCCACCTTCTTCAAGGATTCCCAGAGATGGTTACTGAAGAAATGAATGAGGATCTTTGTGCTACAGTTAGCAATGAGGAAATCAGGAAAGCAGTGTTCTCTCTCGGGGCGAGGAAAGCCCCGGGTCCTGATGGGTTCTCAGGGAAGTTCTACAGGAGATACTGGGATAAGGTGGGCGTTACCCTATGTAGAGAGATTAAGGATTTCTTTGAGACATCTTCTATGCCTGAAGGATGGAACGAAACTCACATTGCGATGGTTCCAAAGGTGGACCATCCGGAAACCATAGGCCAGTTTCGACCCATTAGCTGTTGCAATTTCAGATATAAGATCATTTCAAAAATCATGGCTACTCGTCTGAAGAGATGGACCCCCTCTCTGGTCTCAGAGCTTCAGACAGCTTTCACGGGCGGTCGCCTCATCCAGGACAATATCATTATTGTTCATGAAGCCCTTCATCATTTCAAAAACCACAAACGAGGGAACAGAAGGGATATGATGCTGAAACTGGATATGAAGAAGGCCTATGACATGGTTGATTGGGAATGTCTTGAGACACTCATCAGAAGGTATGGTTTCGATGAGAAATGGTGCAAATGGGTTAGCGCATGTATTCGGTCGGTCAGTTTCTCGGTGCTGTTCAATGGAGAAGCATCTGAAAGCTTCTATCCCTCTAGAGGCATTAGACAAGGAGATCCGCTTTCCCCTTTCCTGTTCATCTTAATGTCAAATGCCCTCACGTTTCTCATCGACAAGGCAGTGGCAGAAGACCGTATCAAAGGAATTAAACTCAACGCGAGATGCCCCACTCTCACTCACTGCCTTTTCGCTGATGACACTGTCATCTTTGGGAAAGCGAACTTACAAGAGGCTGAGAGGATCATGGAAATTATTAAAGATTATGGGTCAATTACTGGTCAGGAAGTCAATATCAGCAAGTCTTCTGTTTTCTTCAGTGATAATGTCCCAGAGGTTGAGAAAAATGGCATCATCAACCACATTGGGTTTTCTCCGTCCAACTGCCATTCAAAGTATCTTGGAGTCCCAACCGAATGGGGTAATTCAAAAAAGGAAACCTTCTACTTCCTCATCCAGAGGATGGAAAAGATGGGAGAAGCTTGGAAGAGCCTACTTCTCTCTCGCGGAGGGAAGGAAGTCCTTCTTAAGTCTGTTATTCAAGCCATCCCAACCTTCATCATGTGCCTTTTCCTTCTGCCAGTTTCCCTCACAAAGAAAATGGACACTCTTCTCAGCAATTTTTTCTGGTCAGGATCTATGGAGAAGAGTTCCATGCACTGGTGTAGGAAAGAAGTCCTCTGCTCCCCAAAGTCAGAAGGTGGATTGGGTTTCCGTAGCTTTAGAGATTTCAATTTGGCACTCCTTGCTAAGCAAGCCTGGAGGCTCCTTACCAATTCTGATTCTCTGTGGAGCCGCCTGCTTAAAGGATTGTACTTCCCTAGAGGCAACTTCCTTTCGTCTAAAAAAGGTAGCAAACCTTCGTGGATCTGGGCTAGCTTGTGGGATTCCAAAAAAGTCATTGATCTGGGAGCGATCAGAGTGATTGGGTCAGGAGAGGATACCTGGATTGATCAAGACCCCTGGGTCCCTTTCCTTCACAAGGCAAGTATTCGGAGTGGCCCTCAAAATCATACAAGAGTCAATGCATGGATTGATCCAGGAGATAGAAAATGGAATAGTAACCTTATCGAAGGAAATGTTACAGCTGAGGAAATGGAAGCTATCTTGAGAATCCCGATTGGGGAGGAAGATTCGAAGGATTTCTGGGCATGGAGTTTAAATGAGGACGGGTCTTTCTCCGTCAGGACGGCTTACCATGCGGTTCACCAGTGTACTTCTGCGGCCCAACAGAGTGGTAATACCGAGAAGTGGAAATGGTTGTGGAATCTTGACATTCCCCCAAAGCTTAAGTTCTTCGTTTGGAGATGTGCGAAGAATGGCCTGGCTACAAAAGAGAGACTTTTCCATAGGAAATGCTCCCCCAACTCTACTTGCCAAGTCTGCCAGTGCCCCATCGAGTCTCTCTATCATTGCCTGTTCTTGTGCCCCCACGCTGGAGAGTCCTGGAACGTTATCTTCCCAAACCTCCCTCTACCGAATCTCTCTTCCTCTTTCCTGGATTGGCTGTTCTCCATCAAGGATTCTATCCATCCGGGAGCCCTTACTCACGTTGTATTCCTGTGTTGGAATATTTGGAAAGCTAGAAATGAATGTGTGTTCAAGAATCGGATCCCTTGGCATCCGAACGTGATTCTGCGCACTTACAAGGAGTTCATTGAATGGACAACTTGCCCGAGGTCCCCCCCTCCCATCTCCCCTTCTATCCCTACTCAGCTCAGGGGATCCCACTCTCTTACTTCTCCACCGCCAAGCAATCATAATTTGGTGATTCACTGTGATGGGTCGTTCATAAGCGACTCCCAGATGGCGGCATATGGTGTTGTGGTTACTAACCACCATGGACAAGTTTGTGATGGGAGAGCTGATACTCTCCTTTGTTCCACCCCGCTCGAAGCCGAAGCAAAAGCTCTCTTGGAAGGTCTCAAATTAGCTCAAGAATATGGCACTGAATGTGTTGTCCAGTCTGACTGCCAGGTGTTGGTCAAAGCTCTCGATCATGATCCTGGAGTTTGGCCGTGGAGGGGATCTGCTTGGATTGGTTCAATGATCTCTATCCTTCGGTCGAACCCACTTGTGAAGGTCAAAGCAGTCTCAAGAAAGTTCAATGTTCGGGCGGATTGGGTTGCTCGTTCTCTTGCTAGATCTTCTCTCCCAGTTAACTGGATTAGTATTCTTGACTTAATTTCTGATTTCCTTTGATCACTGTATTTGGTTTCTCAAGTTGAAGTGGAATAAAGGATGATTTTTACTGTCAAAAAAAAAAAACTGTCTTCTCTCTCTCTCCCACCTGCTCTGGAGATGTGGGTCGATTTCGCAGCAAGATCGATGTCCATCCTCGCTGCCGCAACAACGCCTATGTCATCAGTGTCTCTCGCCGCCAGCGTAAACGAAGACGAACACGACACGCTGGAGATGTGGGTCGATTCCGCAGAGATACCGAGATCCACCCTCTCGCCGCCGCAGCGACGGCGATTCTGCCACAACGGCTGGCGACTCTTACAGCATGCGGAAACGAAGAAGAAGAAGAGGACGCCCGAGCTACGTCTCGACGCCTATGTCGATAGCGTCTCTCATAGCGAGGCCCATATCTTGATTCTCGTCGTTGGTGTGTGCTTCTTGGCGCAGCGAAGTTAGGATCGTGATGTACAATAGAATTGCTAAATCACTATTAATTTAAGTAGTAGTAATTTTTTACGTCAGGATTTTTTATGAGATAAGATAGAGGTATTAACATATATAATTATTTTAATTAAATTTAATTTTTCGAAATATTTTTGTAAATACCAAACAAGCCCCTTGCTAATCTCCACTGTCAGATTTAACTTAATTATAATCAATGGTGATTAAGTGGTTAGTAAAATGCTAACCTCCTATAGGGTTAGCACTCTAACTCCTCTCTGATTCACTAATATGATTATTGTTATCTAATTTATAGGCTCAAAATACAATTTTTACTATTTCAAGGAGAGTATTCTTTCAAATACATTGAAAATATTTGTGCCTCTCTCTGCACTTGACATCATATAAAGGATGTAAGATCTGCAGAGCTGGACCCGAGACGACGATTCATGTAGTACGTGACTGCCCATTCGCTCGAGCTGCATGGGCAGAGCTCTGGATAACGAGACATATAGCTTGTTCTATGAACCAAACCTTCAGCGTTGGTCTCACTACTACCTGTCAGGGCGAAGCTAGGTTATAGACAGTACACTTTTTGTAGGTACATGATGGCTGCTGTGGAAGAATCGGAATGGCTTTCTTTGTTTCGAAGTGAGTTGAAGGCCCATACACAAATCGAGTTCCAAGAAAAACAGCTCAGAGAACAAATTCTCAAAGCGTTTGAGAAGTAGAGGAATATCTTCGGAGATGGGGGGACTCCGCAAAAGGCGGCAAATTGGCTGGCAACCACCGACGCAAGGTTGGGTCTGCATTAACATAGATGGCTCAGTTATTTGCTAGCTGTCCAGAGAGCACGACATGTGGTGGCATTGTACGGAGAGACGATGGTCGATTCATCAGAGATTTTACGATGAGGGTTCAATTACACGTGCAAAGCTGACTGGTATTGTGTATGAGTTGAAACTTGCTTGGGAAGAAGGGCCAGGAAGGTTGTCCTACAGACAGATTCAGCAACTGCTAAGTCCCTGATAGAGATCGCATCACCACACCATCCTCATTACACGCCAGTAGCTGAGATCCGGAGCTGGATGGATCTGCCCTGGAAGGTTCGCATAGACCACGTTTACCGCGAAGCTAACTACGTTACAGATTACCTTGCCTCGATAGGTCACTCTCTTCAGATTGGGCACCATGTCTTTGATAGCCCGAGTAGCTCTCTTGCTTACTGGTTGTATTATGACTCTTTTGGGATTCAAACATTATGCCTGATTCGTACGGAATAAAGGTTAGGGCGTTCTTAATGCCCTGACCTCAGAAAAAAATTTGTGCCTTGAATATGGCTTTCGGCTTCATTTATCTATTTCTGGTTTGGACCTTGGATTGGTGTATTCTCATTTGGGCTCTCTTTTGGCCTATCATGCTTATAATCAGAAGGATCTTATGAATATCTTATTTACCGTCCTAATATTAGTAATATGTGTTCGCCTTAGTTAGGTCAACAAGTTCTAAATAAGTTCTGTAATCAACACTTTCCTCAAGCTCATTTTAACCCTCAAGATAGACAAAGGGATCCTTAAGATACCGATCTCTCGACACTAAGGATAGACATGTTTGGTGCTATGAGAAGACATGTGTGAAATCTTTTAGATTAGCTTATCATCTATGGCGAGAAATACATGAGGCTGAGCAAGGGAATTATACAACCCTGTCAATCAGAATCGAGTTTAGGGTGCAAATTCCTTCAAAGTAAAGGTCTCTGCATAGAAATGGATTAAGAACATTTTGAGAGGAATATTGATAGAAGCGGCGTAATGAGTGCCCTTTTGTAGTCTAAAAGAAATCCAAAGACACATCTCTTTCAGGAATGTGGGTGGGTGAGAAGGATTTGGTGTCCTAGTCTTCTAATTTCTCTATTCAACAAAGGTAAGGATCTTTCACTAAAAAAACTAAGGTAAAGATCTCACTTTTGAAGAGTGAGAATAGTTAGTTATGAAACAAAAAGAAATATAATTAAAGAAATTTGTTATTATGGGCAAAGCTTAACGATGTTTGATGGAGTACCTGGATTACCAACAAATGGGATATGCGGTCACAGTTAATTAGCAGGAGTATCGCTAGAAACCACTGTATATGGTTCGATGTAGTTGTTAGGGATAAGGAGAAAAGATTATGCTTTGCAGCGGTGCAGCGGACCATAGTTCAATGGTCGCTAGAGTTGGCCAAGATATATGCCATCAGCTTCGGTGAAATAGCACGGATCTAGGTGTGCGATTAGAAATCGTAATTGGTATGAGAATTAGGGATTTGGGTGAGATAGAATTGGGATTAGGGTTGAGAGGAAGAGGAACCTCGTCACCGGGAAGGTGGCCGACGGGTAGAGAGGGAGAGGAAGGGGGATCGGTTAGAGAGAGAGGGAGAGAGTGCTTAATGAATAATTTTGTTGTTATTGCTTAACCCTATCTTAGGCCTAACACAGAATATATATAATCCGGCTAATTCCCTCTAACTACCCAAAGACTTAACCTAACCGATTTAACCCCCAATAATTCCCGAAATAGCCGACATAACATAAAACGTCTAAATAACAAATAAACCCCCAATTAATGACTATCTAACATCCCATCCCCCTTGAAACCCACCTTGCCCTCACGGTGGACCTTTTTTCTTCTCTTCCGCTTCTCGCGCCTCGATCTCCTCCCCTTCATCTTCCCAGTTTCCGACAAGCAGCATTAGATGTCTCTTGGCGCATTGATGTCCCACCGTGTACCTTTCGTCGCAGTTGAAGCAACGACTGTCTCTGCGCTTCTGGTCCATTTCCGCCTAGGTTAGCTGGACAAACCCCTTTGGTGGCAGTCTCGACTGGAACCTGTTTCCCGATGCTGCCCCAGTGGCCGCCGGGCTTGCATTTCCCGGCGGCTGTGCGGTACCAGCTCCTGCTCCCATTCCTCCACTGGCCTTCTGGATACGCCCAGCCGACGTTCTCCAACTAGCCAACTCCTCTTCCTTGCGCCCTGCAATCCTGAAAGCAACTCGAAATGAGTCAGGTTTGAAAACCTTAACAGCGATTGCCAGCTCAGGACGGAGTCCCGCCATACACAATCCCACCAGAGTCTCCTCTTTCATTTCCTTGCACTGGTTCCCCAACTTAAGGAACTCCGCGCGATACTCGGCCACCAACCCTGTCTGTCTGAGCTTGGCCAGCTGTTCTGGAGCCCATCCCTCTGCCTTGCCAAATTGATAGTGCAACTCATCCTGGAACCTGGACCATGATATGATCTCACCTGCCGCTACATAAGCTCTCTCGGTCCATTCCCACCACTAGAGGGCATCTCCCTCAAGATAGAAGGATGCCAGGTGCGCCTTCCGCTCTTCTCGGATTGGGTGATTTCTGAATCACCTCTCAGCTGCATACAACCACAAACCTACATCTCCCGAGCCGTCGAACTTGGAAAACTCTATCACTGGCGGTTTAGCTCTAAATACCAATTCCTCTTCAGTCTCATACAGAGGGTTACTGTATTCATACCTGCCTGTGTTCGGTGGTGGCGGTCGATTCATCGGGCCCTGATGGTAGTAGCCGCCCGCGGCTCACTGCTGGGGAGGATAGGGCAAGTCGCCCGTCACCTCCTGGTGGTTCCCGCCATACTCAGGTTTGGTCCCAGACCCTTGCCCAATGTCCCGACAGCCTCGACCTCGACCTCCCACTGCTCGCGGTGTACTCCACGGGGGGTACCTGTACTCCTGGCCCCTGCCCGGCCAGCTCCAGCTGTTGTCCGCCAGTGGTTGACCCGACCTAGTTCGGTTCGGCTCGGTCGAACCGGTTGGCCACCCAGTGACCAGTTGGCCACCTAGTGGCCGGTCCGGTTCAACCCGATTTCGGTTCCACGATCCAGCCCCATCTTGCCTCCTCTAGGATCGGGTCTACACAGCCCTATGGGTCCCCAAAGCTCAGGTCATCCTCCTCCCCCTGGCCCAATTGGCAATTGGCCATGGTTCTTCTCCGTCGGGCCCAGTCGGCCACGGCTCTCCTTCGTACCCCCACCATCTTCTGCTTCCCCCGGACCTTGTCATGGGCCGGATCCGTCGGCATCGGCAGCAAACTCGGTCCGTTGAAAGCTGGCGCGGGCGCGCTCCTCGCGCCGAAATTCACCTGCTCCCCGGCGCGGCTGCGTGGCACGGCCGAACTTCCCGGCGCCCCGCCAGTCGTGGCCAAGACCTGCGTCGCCCCAGCCTCTTCACCGCCGCCCGACAGTTTCTCCTTCGCTGCCTCCTCCTCGCGGCGCGCTACAGCCGCGGTTCGCCCAGCTACTGCGCCGCCACGCGGCTGCTCCGCCTTGCTCGCGGCTGCCGCGTCGCAGCCCTCCTGGCCCGTTGACCCTGCCGCGATTGTTGCTGCCGGCGCCACCCCCATGGACGTGATCGCCGGCGGCTCCCGGTTCCTCAGAACCTGGGTTAGCACCTCCTGCATCGTCGCTGCTAGGGCTCCGCTGATGTTTTCAGCCACGCTCTTACCCATCTCTTCGATGGAAGATTTGATCTGGTCGCCCATGGTTTCGATTGCCCCGATCGAGCCCTTCGAGGCCTCCGCTGCCCTCACAGTCACCTCTGTCAGGCTCTCCAATGATGCTGCCATCGCATCATACTTGCTTGTCGTCACATCCTTGACCGTCACAACCTCCTTGTTCTAGCGCGACTGCTGCTGTTTGTCTGTAGGGTTTGACATCTTCAGATTGCAGTGTCTCTTCAGAGAATCGGCAAACCAGCCATGCTCTGATACCACTGAAAGAGCACGGATCTAGGTGTACGATCAGGAATCGTAATTGGTATGAGAATTAGGGATTTGGGTGAGAAAGAATTGGGATTAGGGTTGAGAGGAAGAGGAACTCGGTCACCGGGAAGGTGGCCGACGGGTAGAGAGGGAGAGGAAGGGGGATCAGCTAGAGAGAGAGGGAGAGAGTGCTTGAGGAATAATTCTGTTGTTATTGCTTAACCCTAACTTAGGCCTAACACAGAATATATATAATCCGACTAATTCCCTCTAACTACCTAAAGACTTAACCTAACCGATTTAACCCCAATAATTTTCGAAATAGCCGACATAATATAAAACGTCTAAATAATAAATAAACCTCCAATTAATGACTATCTAACATTCGGGTTGGAGATGGCGAAGGAATTTCGTCTTTTTTTTTTTTTTTTCTTCTCTCCAGGGGAGGTGGAGTCAGATTGTTTGGTTTGTTGTTCAGTATATGGCGAAGAAGGAAATGGTTAGCACTTAAGCACAGAGCTGGGAGATGCATGCGAAGAGGTTCAGGATTACATCAAAGGATTGTGCACGGGCACCTTTCACTTCTCCGATCGAGCAATCAATCAAGCGGTCCATATTATTGGTCCATACCTTTTCAAGATGACATATGGACTTCTAGGCTTCTTAGTTCCCCAACTCGAGTTGGACTCCCATAGCGTTTCAAATTAATGAAATTGTAGACGTTTCAATTTAAAAATAGGAATTAAATTTGCTAACCTCTATCTATGGATTATCTAGTACATATTATGCTCCTGAAACACGTAAATTGGATATGTCATTTACTTTTCTTGTACTGGCGATTTTACAAACTTCATAACAAGAAACCATGTCCGAAGATTCCACCCACGGTATCTGCACGAAAATTGCCTACTAGAACTCCATTAACATACTACCCCAACTAGGCCGGCAAATGAGCCGAGCCGAGTCGAATTTTACCCCAGCTTGAGCTCGGCTCGTTTATAAACGAGTCGAGCTCGAGCTCAGCTAGTTTGTTTACTAAAATCTTGACTTTTATGTGGCACTCCATTTTGTATATCATGGTACATATTCCATTATTTTGTTAGCTAATCTCATATTATACTTTGTTGGTATCATATATCATTTAGTTAATAATTTTTAACTACTCCATATCATGTTATTTCATATTATCGAAGCAAACTATGATACATAATTTCTTTTTAAAGTAGAAAATAAGATATATTTGCTCACATACTCAACATGTTAACCTTTATATATGGTGAGATAGATAATTTAACAACCATATGAATTAAAATCATAAAATATAGATTGATTCGTCCATAAGTCGGTAATCGAGTTGGCTCTAGCCACATGTTGAGACATATCATGAGGTCTAAAAGAGCCAACTCACGAGTTTAGCTCAACAAGCCACCGAGTCGAGCCAGCTCGCGAGCTTCACGAGTTGAACAAAGCTTAGCTCATATTTGGCTCATTTATTAATGAGCCGAGTTTCGAACGAACTTTTCTTAAGTCGAACGCCGAGCAGCTCTGCTCATTTGCAGCCCTAATCCAACCGAATCAAGTAGTAATAACTAATAAACAAATTCAGAATCCTTAGAGATCAACTTTCCAAAAAGTACTGCACAAACCAAATATTCTGACAGAGAATATAATAAAGATTCCCCGTACAAATGGAGGAACATGAAATGAAAAGATTCCTAATTGAGAAAAGAATAAATTTAATAATGGGATTGCACTAAAAAATACCAACAAAAATCCTTAAAACTAAAAGACAAGAAAAATGTCCTTTTCCATTTGCCCATTACCCTACCCACCATATATTTTTTATAGTGTTCCCAACTTTCGTTACTTTGATTTATTGAAAATTATCTCATCCACTAGGATAACTTGTATCCATACATGTGAACAAAACAACTCGCAAATTGACTCACCCGTCCAATCCGACTCAACCTACTCGTATTTATGAGTAAAATTAAGTTTTAAGGTTGGCTGAGGATTTTATTTTCTACACACCTGTCTCTATTGAGTTGGGTCTGGATTTTGGGTTACGCAACCCATAGAATCCGGCCCAACCCGTATTCTACTATTGTTATAATTGTTTGTATCCAAAACATATTTGTATCATCTATAAGCATATTTGTAAGAAAATTAAGATAATTTTATTATATTTTTCTCTTGTGGTTTCCCTAGTCTAATACATTCTTCTATTTAAAGTTTATACTTTTATTTAATATAGGTTACATGTCACATAATTTTGTGTGTGCACAATTTTAGAATAATAATATATTATGAATGCGTTCACTTATAGCCATTTTAGTTTATTTCGACAAATGTTTGTGCGAATGACTAGACTTATGTTGAAGCAAATTGCATTTCATTAAAATACAAATAACATTTATGCATTTTAATACTTTTTGTTTTGATTTATTTACTCAAAAATTTAATTGGTTATATAATATTTTGTCGAATAGTTGTCTTTTAATTTGTGCATGTTTGGTTGGGTTTATCACTAAAATTATCTCTAACCCGATCTAACCCAACCCAACCCAACTATAAACAAATCGTAGGGTTCTAAATTTTTTGGGTGGATTTGAATTTGATATTCTCAAAACCGTAGTGTATGGGTCGGGTGATTAAAATGATCAAACCCGAATCACTCGACCCATGTACACCCCTATCCACACACCATCGAAGATTCAAACCAGACGGTGAAAAAAAAAATGATAGAACACCATTACACCAAAGTAGAATGATAAATAATTTTTAATCACTACAAGAAAACTGATATTTTGTGACCATTTTATATACAACTATTTAGTCGCGAAAATTCAATTTTTGACGACCATTAATGATAATTATTGTTATAAATTTTGCGACCGCTTTGTCGTCGCCAAATGATAATTTTCTTGTAGTGAATACGACCCAAAAATGTTACATTCTACAACTAAGAAAGGAAAGAAAAAAAATCGTTTTTAATTAATGAAAAAACTATTTTTCTTTTTATTTCATCAATTTGTCAATATCTGTTTATTTCACTCCACAAGATTCCAATTTCCGCTTATTTATTGTCAGTGGACGCTGCTCACTGAGCTCACTTCCCAGAGCTCCAAACTCCACCAAAATCTCCGCCATGGAACCCACCCACTTCTCCCGCTTCCTCTTCCTTCTTCTCGCCGCCGGCATCCTCATCCTCTTCGCCTGCGCAAATTTCCCCACCTACCTCCCACCGCAACCCTCCCCCCGCCTTTCCTCCCGCTGCTCTGCCTCCTCCTCCTCCTCCAATTCCTCCGCATGCAAATCCAGAAAAATCGCCGGAATCCTCAAACAACCGCCCAACCCCACCGCCGAATCCCGCCGTCTCCGCCACGAATCCGCCACTCCCCAGCACCCGCTCGACCCACTCACCATCCAAGAGCTCAACAAAGTCCGCCACGTCATCAATTCCCACCACCTCTTCAAATCCTCCTCCGCCGTCGCCCTCCACACCGTGGTCCTAGAAGAGCCGCCGAAGTCCGCCGTCCTCCGCTGGTCCCCCGGCGACCCCCTCCCGCCGCGGAAGGCCTTCGCCATCGCCCGCAGCGGCGGCGACACCCTCCTCCTCTCCGTCGACGTGGCCTCCGGCGAGTTGAAGGCGGACCGGGCGTTGGGTTCTGCCCCGTCGGGTTACCCGACGATGACGGTCGAGGACATGACGTCAGCGACGTGGGCCCCGTTCGCGAGCGCCGATTTCAATCGGACGATCACGGATCGAGGGGTCGAGTTGAGTGACGTGGCGTGCCTGCCGATCTCGCTGGGTTGGTTCGGGAAAAAGGAGGAGGATCGGAGGTTGATTAAGGTGCAGTGCTACTCCATGAAAGATACGGTGAACTTCTACATGCGGCCGATCGAAGGGCTCACCGTGGTCGTCGATCTGGATACCAAAGACGTCATCGAGATCGTCGATAAGGGGAGGCACATACCCATACCGAACGCCGCCAACACAGACTACCGCTACTCCGCGATAAAGAAAAATCAACGGCTGGATTTGGTCAATCCGATCTCGATCGAGCAGCCGAAGGGCCCCACTTTCACGGTCACAGGGGACCACCTGGTGAGTTGGGCAAACTGGGAATTTCACCTGAAGCCCGACCCGAGAGCCGGGGTGATCGTTTCCCAGGCCCGGGTCAAGGACCCGGAAACCGGGGAGATGAGGAGCGTGATGTATAAAGGTTATACGTCGGAGCTTTTCGTCCCGTACATGGATCCGACTGATGCTTGGTACTTCAAGACGTATATGGATGCGGGAGAATACGGGTTCGGGTTGAACTCCATGCCGCTCGACCCGCTCAATGATTGTCCAAGGAACGCTCATTACATGGACGCGGTGTTCGCCGCCGGCGACGGTACGCCGTATGTTCGGCCCAATATGGTTTGTATTTTCGAGAGCTACGGCGGCGATATCGGGTGGCGCCACTCGGAGAGTCCGATCACCGGCATGGGGGTAAGAATTGAGATGAGAAAATGAGGGAAATGTGTAATTAATGACGTCAGAAACGGGGCGGAAAAATCGGTGTTGATCTCCACTAACTTTTTGTCGTTGCTTTGGTTTTGGACAGATTATTGAGGCGAGACCAAAAGTGACGCTTGTGGCTAGAATGGCAGCTTCGGTGGCGAATTACGATTACATCATCGACTGGGAATTTCAAACGGATGGGCTCATCCGAATTAAGGTGATCTTCTTTCTTGGGGTTCTTGATATTTAGTATAACTATATGTACATTAGTTTGATAATTAACCTACATTAACCAAAATGTCTAGTGATATAAGGACAGTTATGAAACTTAAGAGGGTCGGATTCTGAGTTTTAGTAACTTCTCATTTGCCACTAACCTTCATTTGATAGTAGTGGTAGGTTTGTATTAGAGTGAACTTTTCTCTGATTTCGTATCAACTCTCGTGTTAGTCGTGAAAGAAACTAAGAAACTATCATCAATACACCGTCTCTTAAGCTAGTACACGGAAAACTTTCGAGCATTAAGATTTTGTGTATATCGGCTCAACCGATCCTTCAATTAGAGTCATATTATGATCAATTGAATCAAATTCATATTAGTTAATATTAGCCCAATTAAGAAACTAGTTAACGGTCATTTGACTGCTAAATTATAAGATCTCTACTATTATTGACACCCTGATTTTTTCTTAATTAACTACATATGATCTCTTTAATATTATGCTGTCTAATCGGATCAAATCAGGTGGGTCTGAGCGGAATCCTGATGGTGAAAGGAACAAGCTACGTGAACAAGAACGAGGTACCCGAGGACGAGAATCTCTACGGCACAATGCTGTCGGAGAACGTGATCGGAGTCATCCACGACCACTACGTCACGTTCTACCTCGACATGGACGTGGATGGCCTCGACAACTCCTTCGTGAACGTCCACATCAAGAAGGAAGAGACCTCGCCGGAGGTGAACTCGCCAAGGAGGAGCTTCCTGAAGGCCGTGAGGGAAGTGGCCAAGACGGAGAAAGAGGCCCAGATCAAGTTCCAGCTCTACAACCCGTCCGAGTACCACGTGGTCAACCCGGGCAAAACCACCCGGGTCGGAAACCCGGTCGGGTACAAGGTGGTCGCGGGTGGAACCGCGGCCAGCCTGCTGGATCACTCCGACCCGCCCCAGCTGCGTGGCGCGTTTACCAATAACCAGATTTGGGTCACGCCGTACAACCGGTCGGAGGAGTGGGCCGGCGGTCTGTTCGCTTACCAGAATCACGGCGAGGAGAATCTTCAAGTCTGGTCAGACCGGTACGGAAAGAATCAGAGAATTTAATTTGGCCCTAAATTTTATATGTTTCCCCAATCAGCCCCTAAACTTCTGATTTTTTTTTTGGGGTTTTGCAGGGACAGGGGAATAGAGAACAAGGACATAGTGGTGTGGTACACGATGGGATTCCATCACATTCCCTGCCAAGAAGATTTCCCGATCATGCCGACGGTGTCGTCGAGCTTCGATCTGAAACCGGTCAACTTCTTCGAGAGGAACCCGATCCTGAGGATCCCGCCCAACGTCGAGAAGGACTTGCCGGTTTGCAAGGCGGCTGCTTCTGCTTAGATGGCGAATCGAGGAAATCTGAGAAATTGATGTGATGATTAGAACTAATCGGTTGTGTTGTGAAGAGCTGGAATTAATGTCTAGTTGATTAGCTCTAGGGAATGTTATGTTCGGGTATTCAGGATGCAAAAGCTGCATAATCAGGCTGAAGATGTTCTTCTTTGTGTATCAACACAGAGTTCTCAATAAGCCACTCTATCTAGGTGTATGATCACTAGTTTTGTACACAAGTGTATAGATTAATAATTGTGTAATATCGTGCCTGATTAAAAAGTACTATCGTTCTTGTTAAAATTTTACTTCCGAGAGATGAGAAGAAAGAACACATACAATATGGAGAAACATACAAAAAACCATATCTCCCTTACACCCAGAAATTCTGACGAGTTTACGTGATATTCTATGGGCAACCCAATTAGCGAACTGACCTAAACTCTGCATGAAGGGAACATAGTAGGTCAAAAGACCTTAAAACATCCTATATGTATCTCTTAATTTTCCAAATATGTCATTAATATCTACCAACTAGTTCCTCTGCCGAGTATCCCACTTGTGTAATCTTAAAATACATGTCAATATGTATAGTCCAATGTTTTGGGTTGTTGTTTGAAGCCCTGCTAAAATTCGGAGTCCTAAGGTAAGGAGGAAGCACGACTTAGTCCAAGGAGAGACCCAAACCAGGATCTGTCTTGTGGCCCTAAAATAGGCCCAAATAGATCAACTGATTATGAAGTCCGACCTCAAAGAGAAGCACACCCACCCGGCAGGAAATTCAATATCTAAATAACGACTGGACCAAAAGCTATATGGCTTGGAATTTTGCTCGGCATGTCATTTTAGGATGGATAGAAATTTGACAATCCTGTCACTTTCTTCCTATAATCCTATTACTTTAATGCTTTCATCCAAGAAAGACACAATAACAGACGTCCTTTACCATGGCTGGATTTTTAATTTTCGTTTTTTTTAGTGTATTTATAGACGTGTAACTAAGGTTGTCAAACCGGTTTATGCCAGTGTGCCGGTTTAGCAAGTGGAATGGTTCGACCAGTGGCACATACCGGTTTGCGCGGTTCATGCCGGTCAATATTACAAATAAAATTATAAATACTCATATTTAAACATGACATTTATCGTCAATGCCTAAACATTTATACTTGAATCCAATAAATAACATCAATATTTAACTTTTATACTCATAAAATAAATAACATAATAATTTTTATCAATTAAATTCACTTCAAACAATAAGCTATACACACTATTACATTATCAAATTTCATACCTCACCTTCCTCCGACCAACTGGCCGGTAGCATGAAGTAATATTATGACACCATGGTACTATTAACCAGCCGTTGTCTACTTGTAAAGACTCAAATTGGGCAATCTAGGCCTCGATACCAAAACCAAAGGATTTACCTTCTCCAACACAACCCCAAACTTCTCCTTCGTGTCTGCCACAACACCTTCAGGAAGTTCCCAATCAAACATATGCAAAAGCGTCGCCAAAACATACATAACCATCCGCTCGCCGAGCGGCAAACCGGCACAGATTCTTCTCCCCGACCCAAACGGAAGATAATGGAAGCTCCCGCCCAAGTAATCTAAGCTCCTGGTGGGCTGTTCATCATTCTCATTCAGAAACCTCTCCGGGTGGAACGACGTCGGATCGACCCAGAATTCAGGGTCCCTGTGCATCGCCCACACGTTGAGGAAAACCTTGGTCCCCTCGGGAATGAAGTGGCCGCCGACGTGGCAGCCTTTGGTTGGGCAACGAGGGAGGAGCAGAGGCGCCACCGGGTGCAATCGCAGTGTCTCCTTCACGATGGCATGGAGAAATGGCAAATTGGGAATGTGGGATTCTTCCACAACGCTGTCGGGACCAATCACTCGTGTCAACTCTTGTTGGGCGATTTTCTTGACTTCGGGATGTTGTATCAGTTCGGACATTGCCCATTCGATCGTGGTCGAGCTTGTGTCGGTTCCTCCGATGACGATGTCCTGTTAACAGTAGTTGAGAGTTAACGCACTGTCACAACGAAAGCTATTGGTTAACAATATGTGTTTCTGTCAAGTTTCTAGAATCATCTCATAGGCAATGACGGAATCGGGAATTTAAATGAGTTAATTTGAATCATGGTAATTGAAAAGAGGAGTGTGAGAGCTTATTGATAACTGTATTTCTTAAATTTGATGCAAATTTTACGTATATTTTAATGTTGAGCGGATTATAATCCTTGATAACTTCAGCCTAGCTCCGCGAACTGCAGGTAAAGGATTTGGAACGGTGACATATATAATGACGGCTTCTACATAGTCAAGTCAGAGCTTGGCTAACATAACATTATAAAACAAAAATCCAAAGTCAGACATCCTTAAAGAGTCTCAAGTGGAAAGTAAACTTAATAATTAATTTATGGGAATTCTATGGTGTTATCAGTTCGTTCTAAGGCATCATCTTTGTATTTGTTTTGTATTGTTGAATGAAGATTGGAAAAGTCAAAGCTAAGGCAGAATGACATAATTTTGCCACGCCTTGATATAGACATGTTTCTTTCAGACAGTACTCATTCCAAATTGAAGCAGTAAAAAAAAAAAAAAAAAGGAAAATGGAGGGATTTGAAAACAATTACCATGAGCATTGCCTTAATCTGCTGTCTTGTGATGGAATTTCCAGTATCTTGGTCCTTGAACTCCAACAAGGAGTGCAAGAAATCTTGCTGACCATTATGATCATCGTGTGATCTTGGCTTGTTCATCATATCATCAATGCACCGATCAATCACGAAATCGAATATCTTCTCCATCCCACCCGACACTCTCTTCATTTCCTTCTTCACTCCTTGTAAATCAAACCTGACCCAACAAAAGAGAGTGTGGGGATAACACAATAAATAATTGGGGTTCAATATCACGATATGCAATCAATTTTATGAAAGGGACACCTATATACCGGAGTTGTATTAGTGATTGTAATTTGGTAAGAAGGTTTGATGCTCTAGTTATTAGTAGGTTGGGCAGGAATATAATTTAGTAGGGTCCGAAAATAACAAATTACAATGTGTGTTTCGATGATAAAAGTTATTGTCTTGACATTTTGAGAAAAAAAGGGTGTGTAGTTTAGAATTTGTTAGTTCCAATTTGAATATTCACCATTTTTAATGTGCATTCATTTTCACAACCAATCACCTGGCTCCGCAAGTGGGTAAAAGTGACAAATCGTGTATATGATTACCTGACTTGACTCGCGAAGAGGATTGATTATATCTACTCTCAATTGATATCTCGTTTTTTATGGTATCGTAATTAATCTTCTACTTCCGGAAGATCGTTGTTTTATTTATCAATCTATTTTTAAATTTTAATTATAAATTTTACATTTTAATTATATATACAAATAACAAATGCTAGCGACTTGCGTATGCTTGACATACACTACACGTTTGCATTCATACTTGTCAATATTTTTTTTTTTTAATTAAAATTTTTTATAGTTCAAGTTACATAATTAGAGATTGGGATTTACCCATTAGAAATTAAGATATAGTATCATGCTTCAAACTTCGATTAATTCATGATCTAAATAATAAAACTCAACCGCTTTTCAATAATGTGAACACAGATATATAGCATACGCGTGAATATCTTCCCTTCCTTGCTAGCCTTTGATGTTTTCTTTTTAAATAAAGTAACAAGAAAACCAGTTGTAGGGAAATCAGAAAATTAAGAACCTGGCGAGAATCGGGAAGAAATCCGAAACATTAGGCCTGCCCAGCACCTCCACAAGCTTCGAAGCCGTCGACCGAAACTCGCCGCCGACCACCTTCGCCACGTCATCATCACCATCTCCGTTCCCAAGGGTCCCACCCCAGAACATCCCCGATATCATCCCGATCACCGTCGTAAACGCCACCCTTCCCACGTCCACCTCACCGCCGCCGCCGTTGTACAATTCCGCCACCATTTTCCTCACCTCCTTCCTCCGGAGCGGGTAGAAAGAATCCATACTCTGCTTGCTCTGCATTTTGTGGACGAATATCTTTCGCAGCAGCCGCCACTCGGCGCCGTACGGCGAGAAGGCGATGTCCCTGCCGCCGTATGAGAACACCCCAGCGGCGACGTTCGGGTTCCGGTTGGCGAACGTGACGTCATGGTCACGGACGACCTGTTTGGCCAGGGAAGGGGAGCTGACGACGACGCAGAGCTTCCGGCCGAGGGAGAGCTTGAAGATTGGGCCGTAGTGTAGGGCCAGGTTCATGAAGTCTTGGTGGAGGTTGGGCCCGATGAAGGGGAGGTAGCCCAGTATGGGAAGCCCATGTGGCCCGGGCGGCAACAGCCGGCCGCTGTTGGTTGCATTTGCCGGTGTCTTTTCGGCTCTGAGGTTGCCGGAGAGGCGGCGGATTGTTAGTGGAATTAGGATGCAGGAGGCCAGTAGGATAATTAGGGGGAGAAGCATGGTGGGAGAATTTATTGACTTCTTTGATGAGGTTTGAGTTTGATTGGTGTTGGGAGGGAAGTGTGTGTAGGTACGGTTTGAAGGTTTATATATACCGGAACACTAAATGTCTGTTCTAAAATTATTATTTCACGTTCTAACTATAATACTCATGGTAAAATAGCCAACGGTAGTTTGGTAAAGATGTTACAGCAGTGAAGGCTTGTGAGTTGTAGATTTCAGGTTCGATCCAAGCAAGGCATGTTGGTGTTTCCCGAAGTATAAGACTGTTAGGGCAAAGTCCCGTTGGCATCGAAAATGATTGTAGGTGCCTCCCAGATTAAGTAGAGCCCACTATCACAGAGTGACACGTGTAGCTGAGGATTTTGGGTAATAAAAAAAACTAAAATAACCAATTTACGTATTAGTCCAATTTCAAATAAGAACATAAATAAATTATTTCCCCTTCCTAAAAACACAATAAACCTTCTCTCCCCGAACTCAAGCCTCTGCACGTCTTTTCTCCATTGATCCCGGCTGCCATCCAACTTCACCCTACCGTCGATCATCCCACCCGCTGTCAGGCGCCAACCAACTTCACACTACCATCCATCCTACAATCTTTATCGTTTCATCATTTGTCGATGGTTCCCTCTTCTCTTGTTTTTTTTTTTTTTTCCTTCCTTTGAAAGCGGGAGGAATACAGTAAATGCTTGTTGAAAAGTCTGTTAATTTAGTTTATGTGCCAGAGTAATCTGTTAATATTTGAGTTAGTTCACTGATATGTTTATATTTTGAAAAATAAAAAACTATGATTACAAAATTTCTATCAAATTTCTATAATGTTTAAAAGTTTACAAAGTTAAATGTATTTTGCAACCTTGTTTTCAAGATAAAACATCTTTATCAATTAGCTGAAAATAAACTCGAAATTGTGATATTAGAATTTAGGTTTTCACAACCTGTCTTTTCTAATGATTATAGTCGACATGATTTCAATAATTACACTCCGTACCTTAGTGTAGGAAACTTTGCGTAATTAACTTATCTTCTTAGCGGCGACCCAATCTCGTTTCACTTACGCTTTAGCGGTCACCGGAGCCCATGGAATGACTCCAACCCAGCCACTGGCCAACCAGTGGATGCCGGTTGGTGAGCATGATCTTATACCAGGGGAGCGCAATGGTGAACCGGCTCTGAACATCTCCCCGAATTTCAGAGCTAAAATCTGTGCTCCTTGGGAGCGAGCCCTGGTAGTCAGACTTGTCGGTGCTAAAGTTGGTTTCACCGCCCTATGCGCCCGCCTGCGACAGCTCTGGCGCCCAGTCGGGACTTTGGAGGTTATGGACCTTGATCATGATTGCTTCTTGGTAAAGGTAAGCAACGAACAGGACTATTTTCGGGCTCTCACAGATGGCCCGTGGATGATCTATGATCATTATCTGATAGTTCAGCAGTGGACCCCCAAGTTCAAAGTTTCAGATCCTTTACCGAGGAAGATGATTGTCTGGGTCCAGCTCCCTGCGTTGAAGGTACACTTCTATCATAAGGAGGTGTTGACAGTTCTCGGGAATCTCATTGGACGGACTATTAAACTCGATTACCACACCCTAACGAGGCAACGTGCCAAGTTTGCTCGGCTGGCGGTAGAAGTGGATCTCTCCAAGCCTTTAGTTCCAAGGATTTGGCTGGACGACGAATGGCAGAAGGTCGAATTTGAAAATCTGCCCGTCGTCTGCTTCGAATGTGGCAAAATTGGCCATTCAACCGACTCCTGCCCTCTCCTGCAACCAACTGAGTCGCCGGCGGCGCTGCCCCTCCTCGGCGGGACCTCAACGGAAACTCGGCCGGCGCTAACAGAGGAGAATCTGGGATACGGACCGTGGATGCTTGTTAGCCGCAAAACCAGGCGTACTCCTAGGGACCAAAGCAAGAAAGGTAAGCAGGAGTTGGAGAATGGAAACTTTGGAACGGGCAAGGATGGAAAGAACAACAAAGGGGGAAACTCAAATAAGGAAGGAATATCCACCCCCCTGTATCTCGCAACCAGCAACGGTTCGCATATCCCCAGCCTCGGTTCACAAGAAAAGAAGGTCTCCAACGGGAAGAAGGGAGGCGGCGAATCGAAGAAGGGGAAGGAAATATTGGGCCATCAGGCTAACCCTATTGAACAAGGCATTCTCGGGCCGAGGCCCAATGCGGGGACTAAGAAGGGTCAGGTATTAAAGGTAAACATGGAGATTCAAGAGGCCCAAGCGTCGACCTCTGCCCAGAATAACAAGAATATGAAAATTAAGGACACTAAGCTTTCGGGCCAAGATGAGGCCTCGGCCCAGAAAGGAAATCTCCAGCCCAGTACCTCCCTTCCCCCAGTTCACTCAGTCATCGGCCCAAGCGGAACTGAGATGCAGATCATCGAATTTCACCCAGCCGGCGCGATCTCCACCACGGGGAACGGCGATGCAAATCCTTCCACGACCTCCAGAACAAAGCGAACTAAAAATGCCAAATCGAGAGGTCGGAAAGGATCCCCTGCTAAGCTCAACCCGACTAGGACCCTCCAAATTTGGTCCCCGGTAAAGGAGAAGAAATCGAAGAGCAAAGCCCGGTTGGCGGCACTGACGCTGCAGGACATCAACGAGTGGACTGAAGCTCGAGGACGGCTCACCACGGGTCCCTCCGACCAAACCCCTATGGCAGAGCCGAGTCAACCACAACAAGAGGATTCCGTGGAGAGGGAGATGGCTACCTCTGCGTGCTGACTTGCTGCTCGATTTTTCCTCTCCCCTTGCTGTCTCCTTTTGTTTTTTGTGTCCTATGTCTAGTAATCATAATATTAAAGTTTTTTCTTGGAACGTTGGTGGTGCAGGTAACATCGCCTTTGTTCGTGCGCTTCGTCTCGCCATTCAGCAGCAGCGTCCGGATTTTGTAATCCTTTTGGAGCCCCAAATCAGCGGGAACTCAGCCAACAAAGTTTGTGATAAGCTGGGGTTTCCTAACTCGATTAGAGTGGAAGCAGAAGGGAGAAAGGGAGGTATCTGGGTGTTCTGTGATGCCGGAAGATTCTCTACGCAACTCATCTCAGCCTGCAACCAGCATATTTCCTTGCAGGTATCTCAGAACTCGGCGCCCCCTGGATTCTGACCGCCGTGTATGCGTCGCCTCAGTACAGCCAGCAGCGGAGTCTTTGGGAATGCCTTATTGACCAGAGCAAGCAGATCGACATCCCGTGGTTGCTTACTGGGGATTTCAACGCAATCCGGACCTTAGAAGAGAAGGCTGGTCCACCCACGAACTCCACGGCTCGTCGTTGTCACGTTTTCAATGAGCGAATCAATATGGCGGAGTTGGTTGATCTTGGCTTCTCCGGCCCCCGATTCACGTGGACTCGAGGAGATCAGCCCCAAAATTACAGAGCAAGTCGACTCGATAGGAGCCTTTGCAACCTGCAATGGAACTCGAGATTCCCCAACACTTCAGTCACCCATCTACCTCGCTTCCACTCCGATCATAACCCGATCATGACCACCATCACTATTCAGGGAAGTACCCCGCCTGCCCCTCGACCCTTTAAATTCGAAGCTGCGTGGTTCACCCATGACAGCTTTGCTGATTTTATATCTGATTCCTGGAACTCTGATACCCTTTTTCATACTGCCTTGTCTCTGCTTGCAGGTAAACTCCAGGAGTGGAACACCACCACCTTTGGGAATGTACATCAGAAGAAGAGAAGGCTGCTTGCGCGACTCAAGGGAGTTGAAACTCGATTGGCGGTCGGGTTCTCTCCTGGTCTTGCCAAATTACATTCCAAGCTGGAAGCCGAGCTCGATATTGTTCTAGCCCAGGAGGAGCTGCTGTGGTTCCAGCGAGCAAGAGAAAACTGGGTGAAGTATGGGGAAAGGAACACGGCCTACTTTCATCAGCTGGTCAACATTAGGAGGCGAAGGAGTAAGATTGATACCCTGCAGGATGCGTCCGGGAATTGGGTGACTGATCAGAATGCGCTTGCTGCTATGGTGTTCAATTTTTTCACTAACCTTTATACGCAGGATGATACTCCCTATGAGGACAGGCTCCCGAAGGGCTCTTTTCCGCGGATTCCTCAAACGGAGTTGATGGCTCTGCTTCGGCCCTTTACCATAACGGACATCCACAAGGCCATTTTTGACATGAAACCTTTTCAGGCGCCAGGTCCGGATGGCTTCCAGGCTGCTTTCTTCCAGCAAATGTGGAGAATCGTTGGGAGGGACTTCTCGAAGATGGCCATTGACTTCTTCTCCACAGGGGAGCTGCCGGATACGGTGTCAGAGTCAACTATGGTGCTTATCCCGAAGGTGGAGAACCCGGAGCGAGTGAACCAGCTGAGGCCCATCTCTCTTAATAATGTGAGCCTCAAAGCCATCACCAAAGAGATGACGAGTAGACTGAAGCCTCTCATGAGGAAGCTGGTGTCTCCCAGGCAGAGCAGTTTCATTCCGGGCAGACAGACAACGGACAATATCATTGTGGTGAAAGAGGTTCTTCATTCTCTCAGGCGGAGGAAAGGAAAGAAGGGGGGCATCATTGTGAAGATCGACTTGGAGAAAGCTTATGATAGGCTCCGTTGGGACTTCCTGAGGGACACTCTTAAGGAAGTTGGCCTCCCTAGCTCCTGGATCAGCTGTATTATGCACTGCGTGGAGCAAAATCGGATGAAAATCATGTGGAACGGAGAGCTTTCTCAACCTTTTTCCCCGACCAGGGGAGTCCGCCAGGGAGACCCTCTATCCCCTTATCTCTTTGTTCTTTGCATGGAGCGTCTCTCCCATTTGATTGATGAGTTGGTGGATAGCGGGGATTGGAAACCTCTTAGATTGTCTCAGAATGGTCCGCACCTCACCCACCTGTTTTTTGCGGATGATTTGTTGCTTTTTGCAGAGGCAGAGACTCGGCAGATAGGGATCATCAAGCGGTGCCTGGAGGACTTCTGTTTCAGCTCAGGTCAACGTGTGAACTTCGACAAGTCTATGCTCTTCGTGTCTCCCAATGTTACTCGCCAGAAAGCTGAAAGGCTGAGCCGCCGCTCAGGCACTCCTCTGACAGCGGACCTGGGGAAGTACCTTGGGATACAGACGATTAACGGGCGCATCACTAAGGGGAGATACCAGTCTCTCCTTCTTCGGATTCAAAAGAAGTTAGCCCCCTGGAAAGCCAGGCGTCTCTCTTTTGCGGCTAGGCTTACTGTTGCTAAGTCAGTTTCCGCGTCTTTACCTGTCTACCATATGAATACTGAGCTAATCCCGGTTGGTGTTTGCAAAAGCATTGATAAAATTAACAGGGATTTCATTTGGGGTGATGAGGAGAACAAGAGCAAGATGCACTTAGTGGCTTGGGAGAAGATGACTTTACCTAAGAACCTGGGCGGAGCTGGCATCAGACCCACAAGACAGGCTAATCTGGCCATGTTGGCGAAAGGTGGTTGGAGACTACTCAAGGAGAAGGATACCCTTTGGACACAGATAATGTACTCCAAGTATGGGCGCCAACAGAGACATCTAGACATTCTGCGACCTTCTCAGGGAAGTTCCTTTACCTGGGCAAGCTTCACAAAAGCTGCCTCCCTCCTTAAAAAGGGTTGTGCCTGGAATATTAAGAAAGGTAAGCACACTAAATTTTGGCTTGATCCCTGGGTGTTGCAGGTCCCTCTCAAGGAGATAGCTATTGGCCAGTTGCCGGCAGGAAGCGAGGAGATGACTGTAGCTGATTTTGTGCATGATGATGGGACCTGGCGGACGGATTTGTTCGAAAGACTCCTTCCCCCATCTATCTCCCAAAAGATCCTTAGCGTGGCGGTAGATAAACTCTCCACAGAGGATGACACTCTCTTCTGGTCGGCTTCCTCAGACGGAAATTTCTCGGCCCGGTCAGCTTTCAACCTCAGTAATGATCACCAGCAGGATGTGGATGAACCCCTTTGGAAGGCAAATTGGAAGCTACCGGTCGCCGAAAGAGTGAGAAGCTTTACCTGGCTAGTCGCGTTTGGAAGGATCGCCACGAACGGACTTCGACACACTAGGAAGGTAGCGGATGACCCTTCATGCTATAGATGCATTGGCCAGTCTGAGACGGTCCTTCATGCTTTGAGAGACTGCTCACCAGCGAGTTTCTTCTGGTCTCGAAGAGTGCCTCCTTCCCGACAACACTCCTTCTTCAGCTCTAATCTGAGGGATTGGCTGCGGGAGAACATCTTGAGCAAAGACAGCATGGCCACAGGTATGGATTGGTCGGCCTTCTTCTGCACTGCTTGCTGGCTCATTTGGAAGAACAGGTCGACAGCTTGCTTTGAAGGTATGGGGGCAACTCTCTCTCCTCATTCTCTTGAGCATGCTATTATGGCGAAAACCAAGCTCTGGCATGATGCTTGGAATGCGCCGTCCCGCCTCCCCAGTAATAGACAGGCTCCAGCGGATCGGGTTTTGGCGCATGTTGGATGGACGCCCCCGCCTGAGGGATGGCTGTCCCTCCATGTCGACGGTGCTTCTTCAGGGAACCCTGGCCCCGCCGGGGCGGGTGGTGTTCTCCGAGATTCGAGTGGTAGGTGGGTTGCAGGCTTTGTGGCGAATCTTGGTGCAGCGACGGCCGCTCTCTCTGAACTGTGGGCCATTAGCTATGGGCTCGACATCGCGCGGAAAGCTGGCTGCAGATTCCTTCAGGTGGCCTCGTACTCTCAATTGGCGATTCAGCTGATCAGTACTCGGCAGGACCCGATCCACCCTTATGCGACCTTGTTGACAGCTATTAGAAGGAAGATTGGGAGTGATTGGGTGGTACGCATAGCTCATACATACCGGGAAGGGAATAGAGTCGCGGACTGGCTCTCGAAGCACAGTCTCGTCTATCCCTACGGTATGCATGAACTTGCGGACCCACCCAATGGAGTGACTTCGATCCTCAGGGATGATATGCTTGGGACTACTTTTGAGCGGCGTATCATTACCTCCTCCCCCCCCCCCCCCCCCCCCCCTCTGTAATCTCCTCCTGTAATTGTTTCTTGTTCTTGGCCTTGGCCTCCTATCAATGCAAAAAAAAAAGTATCCGAACCTACCTCTGGCAGGCGGCAGCTCACACATTAATTTTCATTTTTCGCTAGTTGGACTGTGGATCATATCATCATGTGGTACGGTTGTGTTTGGTAGTTTTCATTAATTAATATATACAATTTAAGATATTTTGTCCTTTCCTTTTCTGTTTCTGATCGGGGCCTTACCTTGTGAATTGTGATTGCCTCTACATTAATGGAAATTCGACCTTCTCTAACAGGAACAACGTATGCCGTGTGCATACCAATCGTTTCATACCTGAAATTAGTCTATCATGGGAAACAAAACAAACCGGAGATCGACGCACTCGTAATATTCTAAAATATTCAATTATATAGTAGGGTGGGAATTTCAATTTTCGAAAATTGAAACCCTGTGATTGGGTGGTTAATTACAATACGAGAATATATAAACCGACATATGATAATAAATTATGTTTCGAAGTCTTATATACTCAATATATATTCTTCCAACAATAAATTTTTTACTTTAATTGTTACCATAATATTTATTCACATAGTTCGACTTCGAAAATTGTAAAGTGAATCATTTGTCAAAGTATTTTCCTATATATGCATACTCATCTTCCCATGCTCTCATTATACTTAATTTTTTAGTTTATCACAATGTATTAATAAGTAGAATATTTTATATTTTTCTAGTATTAATGCAACATGCTATTACAATATCTTACATTTTTGCTATTTTACATATATGTATTGTTCTTCGTATTTATTATGAAAAATACAATTTTTGTTTTCGTATAATGGATTGAATTTTTCATCAAAACAAAGCCCAAACCATAGATTAAAAAATTCGTACAATTTTGAAATTAATAGGTAGATTTGGATTTACCATCATTCAAGTAGTTAACAACGGTTAAAACCGATCCAACCGACCCTTGTACACCCTATTCCTCTAATCAAAACCATATATAATAGCTGTCAAAATGGGCACATGTTTTAATCGTGCTAATATCTTGTGGGTCCTAATCAAACTATATAGTCTATGTTGACGTTGACTGCCACTTCCTTTCTGGCACCACTTCAGTGTTCAGTGTTTTCTTGTTACATAAAACTAGCATGTTCCGTCCTCCATCCGACCATCTATGAATCTTTTGGTGAAAATGGCCCCTGCACTTGCAAGCTGTAACGAAATTATTAAGGTAAAGTTTATTAGTAGTATTTGGGGAGGGGAATAGCCCATCTTTAGTTCAGGGCCAAAGTCTACCAAGCTAGGTTTAAGGACCCTCGCTTGGACTCTAGGCCCATCCATACCTTCTCCTTACTTAAGCCCAAACCAAACACTAACCGAACCCCATAACTGCCTTCTTCCCCCAAATCCTACGGATAATTGATTCTCTCGCAGCACAAATCATAAATTCAATTTGGTTATCTCCACATCCTCCGAGAATGTATCCACACTGATAAATCTCTCAATCACATGTTTGGTCATTCAATTTATTAATAAGTTTTATGCTCTCACTTGATTTTTTTTATTAGTCACTAATTTCAAACTAATATTTTATTATAGATTATTAATGGTTTGTTTTCGTTAAATTTATTCTGAATGACAATAAAATTAATATTTGACCGTTAAATTACCGATATGTCAAATATAAATATTTATATTTTTGCACCTCAACAGTCACCGCCGCCACAGTTACATTCCAATCCATGGAAACCCACTCATTCTCTTCCTCGTTACCTATCCGAGGCGGCAAACTACTAGTTCACCAAGATAAACTAATAACACAGACAACAGTGGACTATTTTCATGTCCTAGGAGGGAGAGGCAAAGTATAATAACAAGAAGAAGGAACCACAATCGAACAACAAACGACCACCATCATAAACAAAAGACCCCCAATAAAGTCCAACAAAAGGCCATTAATCATCAAACCCAAACTAATCAACCACAATTAGCTTATTAAACAACATTATCGCACAACACAACGTACGACACCAGAAATTGCGAAACAAGACAAATTTATGCATCTACCTCATAACATATTCCAACCAACACATCTTGCCTTCCCACCCTTATTTTTTTTAATCTTCTAGTACAGCTCCAAACTCGACAGCCTGGGAGTAGGAACAAGAACCAAAGGGTTCATCTTCTTGATCACAATCCCAAACTTGTCCTCCAACTCCAGCTCCGTCCCCGCCGGCAACTTCCAATCGAACGAATGCAATAACGTGGCCAACACGTATTTCAACGTGTTGACCGCCAGAGGCTGGCCAGGACACACCCGCCTTCCAGATCCGAACGGAAGGAACTGAAAGTTGTTCCCTTGGAAATCGAACTTCGTGTCGTCCTCCACGCTGAGGAACCTGTCCGGTTTGAACTCCAGAGGGTCTTCCCATAGTTGTGGGTCGGTGTGGAGGGCGTAGGCGTTGAGATAGACGATTGTGCCCTTGGGGATGGTGTACCCGCCCAGCTCGCAAGTTTTGCTAGGGCAGCGTGGCACTAGCAAAGGCAGAGCTGGGTGGATTCGAAACGTCTCCTTGATGACGGCTTCTAGGTAGGTTAGGTTGGGGAGATGAGATTCCTCGACGATGTCGTTTTGTCCGACGATTTCGTTGAGTTCTTTGTAGACTTTGGACATTGCGTCTGGATGTTTGACCAGTTGTGCCATCGTCCACTCCAACATGGTCGACGTTGTGTCTGTGCCACCCACCAAGATGTCCTGTTGGAATAAACTCAGCCAATCAATTAATTATGTTGTGATTTTATCGAGGATTGTAAAATTATACGGTAAGTTGTCTTGAAAAAGTCAATAATATGATCCCGTATTCGGAAGAAACGGACACATCAATTGATACAATTTTTCTAAGCTAACCCATGTATGTTCTCATCCTTGCCAGCTTCTCTAATTGTACTTAATACTTATTAAGTATTAGCGAACCCCTATAATTTGTTTAATCAGTAAGGTCATTATGATAACTGAGAAGGCATTAAAACAATACGAAAACAACTAATCATGTCATTATTATTAAAGTATATATATAAATGCAAGTTGCATGACGGTTCGCTTTATGCATGCACGTTACCATACCACTGCTGTTGTTTATTTATTCATAAGGAATCAATTATCTCATCAATCAAGCGGACCAATTCAATCATACTATGATACTAATGACTATAATCTTTTTAAGTGTTTAAACTTTAAACTAGTTCAGCTTCTGCATAACCTAACTTACGGTGTAAAAAACCCACGTAAAAGAGTGATATAAAATTCAACGCTCAAAAACCTTACCATAAGCAGAGCTTTGACTTGATTGGTAGTAACATAACTTTCACCGTCGCTGCCACCGTCGCGATTCAGATCCAACAACACCTGCAAGAAATCCTTCCTCCCGTTGCCTCCCCTCTTCTCAACCGCCCTCAACCGCTCCTCGATCACCGAGCTCAGAATCTCATCGAACTTGTCGAGCAACCTCTTCGACTTCTTCTCAATCCCCTGCAAGTCAAACCTGGCCAGCGCCGGAATAAAGTCCGACACGTTCGGCGTACCCATCAACACCAACATCTCCGACTCCAGCTCCCTGAACTCGCCGTAGAACCCCTCGTCGTCCCCCGCCACTCCTCCCCACAACATGCTCAGCATGGCGTTCGTCGTCGTTTTGAACGCCATTTCGCCGAAATCCATCGCTTCCCCGCCGGAACATCTCTTGTGCACCTCTTTGACGGAGTTTCTCACCTGCTGCTTCCTTAGCCCGTAGCATTCCTCCAGATTCGCCCCACCCAACATCTCCCTCACAAACACCTGATGAAAAAGAAAATAACAAATTGTTCGTACGTAAGTATTATAAGATTCACTAGCGAATCCACCGGTTCTCGTAACTAGTTATCGCTAAACTTAAATATGATGATCATGTACAAAATTCAAATTAAACGACGGTTAAATTTTTCGTTTGAAAATCAGTTAAAACGTTTCGACCGAAAAATTAGGATGTGACAATAAATGTTATATAATTATCGTTCACTAAACTTAAATACGACGATCGTGTACAAATTTCAAGTTCGTTAGATTTTCGTTTGATAAATTAGTTAAAACTTTCGATCGAAAATCAAGACAATAAAAAACAAATTACGAAAGGGTCGTCTATAAAAACAAACCTTTCGGAGCTTCTTCCAGAGTGGGCCGTAGTTCGAGAATGCCACGTCATCGCCGCCGTAAGTCAGGACCACGGCGGAGATGGGCGGGTCGCGGTTGGCGAAGACGGCGTCCTGGTCTCTGACGATCTCTTTGACTAATGAAGAGGAGCTGACCACCATGCAAAGCTTCCTCCCTAGCCGGAGCGAGTAGATGGGGCCGTAGGTGGCGGCGAGAGCGGTGAACTCGCGGTGGAGGTGGGTCCCGAGGAAGGGGAGGTAACCGACCAGCGGCAACCCGGTCGGACCGGGAGGCAGTGGGGCCTGTTTTTGTCTTCTGAGGAAGCGGGAAAGGAGGAGCCCCGTCGATAGCAGGAGAGGGATGGCTGTTACGAGGAAGTAGTAGGCGCTGATGTCACCTTTTGCCGTGGCGGCGCCGGGGGTGTAGCATGCGCGGAAAGAATGGAGCATGCAGGATAATAGGAAGTTGAGAACCATGGTTGACTTTTGACACGTGTTTGTTGTTGTTGTTGTGTGGGGATAATGATGAGCCCTATTGTTGGGAGGTTTGTGGCCTAGATAAAGGGCGTGGAACTCAGGGATAAGACAAACGGAGGGATCTTTGATGCTCCTTCGTCTGGCTACTGTAGATGCTATCGGGAAAGAGTCCAGTTGATATACAACAAAAGACGGTCGTAACATTTTTGTTAAACTCTTAGATATAATTAAGTAGACGTTTGAGATTTGTTTGACAGTTTTTAGCAGTGTTATTAAAGCTTAGTAGAGCCGCTCGGCCCGACCGGTAAAACCGTCACCCGGTCACAAAACCGGCTCGGAACAGTCTAAAAGCCGCTTCGGTTTTATGTAGCGGTTGATGAGCGGCCGAGGCGGTTAACCGCTCGAGCCGATCGAGCCGCTCGTCCGGTTTTTGTCATGAGCCATTAAATTTAATTAAAACTTTGCAGAAAATTGAAATAAACCAAAAACATCGGGCTCTCAAACTGAATCCTTATTTCCATTTCACAATTTCGAAGGAAAGAGACGAGCTCTGATTAAGAAATGTTCACTATTTATACTGATAACATTTATTAGGTACCGGTTCTCTAACGGTTTTTAAACAGTCTAATACCGGTTGGACCACTAAAGTGCGAGCCGTTCTCATTACCGGATCATGCTCCGGTTTGGTTCTGACAACATTGGTTTTTAGAACTCGTCAATGTTGTAAAGGTTGGTTTTTTTTTTTACAAAGGACATTGAATTTCCATTAATTGAAGCAAGATCCAACAATTACAGGAGAGGTGCAACCAATCAAGGATTTGCAACCATTGCGAGGCAAGATCCAACCATTGTAAAGGTTGGTTGGTTGGTTGGTTTCTCAATTTTTATTTGAACAATCATCTGGTTAGCTCATGATTGATTGGTTGGTATATTACCACTTAGACATACGGTGACATAAATGATTTTTGAAATACAATTATAATGTTTCTCTGATGTAAGTACGGACTAATAAATCCATCTCGATCGCAAGGTAAATATGATTCTCATATGTTTGTGGTTAATTTAATGGCCGAGTAGTACTCATCACTTTCGATCTAAGTAATTGTCTCTTCCCCATTTTCCATGTAACGCTGTATTTTGGTTTCAGCCTCTCCAAGAACCAATTGAAGATAGTCTCCATGCAGGGCCGACCCTAAGATTTTGGAGGGCCTGTTCTAGGGATGGCAATGGGTCGGGTCGGGGACGGATAGTGTATATCCGTTACCCTACTCAAAGTAGTTCGGGTTTTACCCATACCCATATCCACATGTGAAACGGGTAGAAAACTAAAACCATGCCCATATCTGTTCGGGTTTCGGGTACTCACGGTTATCCATGGGTAATAATTTCTCTTCATAACTCCAACAAATATGTTATCATTCACACGTATTCTCACAGTACTTAAGAGGAAAGTACGACAATAGTTCACTAGAATGAACAAAATTAATTAAAACAACACAATTTCATGAAAATATTATATTTATATGCTAAATATAAAATATTTTAGAGAAAAATAATGATTATTTCTAGATAAAATACATATGCATTTGTATAATCGGGTGGGTTCGGGTTGGATAGTGAGAAACCCATGCTCACCCATTACCCTCAATATTCGGGTTCGGATTTTACCCGTACCCACTAAATGTCCTTCGGGTTCGGGTTTTACCCTACCCGATTAGACCGGATTCGGGCGGATATCCACGATTACAGATATTTTTGCCATCCCTACCCTGTTCGGTAAACAAAATGTGGTTCAAAATATTTTTTCTAAATATATAATAAAATATAAATAAAACATCATTCAATAAATAAAAAATCATAACATTATCTAAAATAATACTGTCTATTATGATTTGAAATAAAGAGTGACAATGGTTTAAATAGTAAGATATAATAATTTTTTTTTTATTATTTGGGAGATCAAATGAAAAAAAAAATCTAAATAGCAAATGACAATGAATCAATTAACTAGCTAGACTCGCCTGAATAGGTAATGAGAACTTAATTAAGTACATGATAAAAATAATTTTAGAACAAATCAATAGGATAAAAAAAAGTAAACTAAATTAGATAGGAGAAACTGATAATTTTTTTAAACTAAAGTTAATCATGGTACAAACTATTTGTAATTAATTTAGTTATTTTTTCTTTCTACTATTGGTGGCTTGTACGGAATTATCCCGGTTATCGTTTATAAAAATATGGATTATTTAATTAATTTTTCATTACTGTCTTGCTAGTACAAATAGGTTAATTGATGAAATTGAATGATTTTTCCTCTTGTAAAGCTGAAAATGAAGTAATTAAAGAAACAAATATAATAATGCTAATAACCAGGCATCAACAATCTTATCTCTTTTATTCTGTTTAGTAAACACGCGATAAAAAATAAGTTATGTTATATGGTTTGGAAAAAGTCTAATAAGAAAGCAAGTATTCTCCTCATGTGATCCATTCGTTCCTTTAGCCTTCGTACTTACATTTTTTAATATTATTGGTTTATACCCATAATAAAAAATCAATTCATAAATTTTATATCGTTCTAAATTCATAATCAAAACCTATAATCCGTAATAATAATGAGTCATATACACGATGAAGGTCCGAAGGGCCCCATAATTTAGAGGCCATGTGGAGGGCGGGCCAGCAACACACCCTCTAGGCCGGCCCTGTCTCCATGAATATGCGAAATTTGTAAATAGTGATCTGCCAAGAGGGGATACAAGAATGCGATCCCACTTTCCATTCACGATTTAGCACAATGCGAAACAAAAAAGAGGTTATCCTGGAATGGGTTAGGGTGATTACTTGTTTTTTAGTAATCACGGTGGCAACCTCTTTATATACCATTTGATTAATTATTTTCCCTTCTTTTTTAATCTTACGGTCAAGATTCTTTTAGGGTAATTTTGGAAATTAAAAAGTGACCACACCTGATTATTCTATATAATCTACCTAAACCCTAGTTATATCCTCCCTCTAGCCAAACCTGTCGCAGCCGCCTCCACGTACCACTCCCGTCGCACCGCCGGCAGCAGCCCCGACCACCGCCGGCAGCAGCCCCCCCCCCCTCTCCCCTGTCTCCATCGTCTACTCAGAAATCATCGCCCCGCTGCTATCCATGGCGATCCCGATGCCGAAGGCGCTGATCTCATCTTTACTGATCCAAGTGTCCGCCATGGGTAAATCACTTGCAGCTCTCATCTTTACTGGGTTCCTCCTCTTCCTTTCCTTCTTCACCTCACCGTCCCAAGCCCAAACCTGCAACGGCTGGCCTTACCAAGCAACCAAGTTTATTGATCTCATCTTTACCGATGCCGAAGGCGTTGATCTCATCTTTTCACTTCCCTTTTATTGATTCAATATGCAGTGGTATAGATTGTTTATATTGGTAGTTTTCGTGTAATGGTATAGATTTATTTCTGCAATAGTATTGATTGTTTATGGTATAGATGGTTTATATTGGTAGTTTTCGTGTAATGGTATAGATTTATTTCTACAATGGTATTGATTATTTATATTGGTAGTTTTCGTGTAATGGTATAGATTTATTTCTGCAATGGTATTGATATTTTTCAAAGTGGTAGTGTTTGTCTAATGGATTGGTACTGATTTCGTTTTTTTTTTTTTGCAGAAAGATTGAGAAAAATATGGAAAGTAAATCTGGTTAGAGATTACGGAAGTGAGAGAAAGAGAGAATTTTAATTAATAGATTTTTGTAACTATCTAAAATGTAATTTATTAAAAATTTAATTAATATAATTTATTTTTCCATACTCAATTTACCTTTAGCAATCACGGAGTAATCACCGTAACCTGTCCTGGTTATCCTTACAAAAAATGCGAATAGAATATAGTGAGGGGCAAATCGATTCAATCGAGGAGTAAAACCAAATAAAAAAAATCCAAGTTTATTCGTAACATAATAGACGGATATTCATCAAAATTTTCATTTCTACTCCATTTCATATTTTCATTTAGAAGATTCATAATGGTGCCGACATTTGCTGCTGGCTATTTCCCCATCACAGAACCCTTACCCTTCTCCTCCCTTCTCCTCTCCGTCCGTTTCCCACACCGCCACCACAAACAACGCTATCGCAGCCCTACATGATCACAATTTGCCAACGTCACTTTCGACACGAGTAACTGTCTCTTCTTCTTCTTCCATGTAACTCTATTAGACCATCCACATCTATGAAATATCATTTCTATTCCATATGTGGCCCCTACTGTTACAACAGCTTTTTCTATTTCACTACATATCAATTCTATTTTCTCTACATCCATGAAATCCACTATCTATTTCATATGGTGGGTCCAACTTACTTTTTAATACATTTATACATTTATATCTAACCTATATGATTTTACCAATTTAAGATGTATCAAATAATTAAAATAATCTATTGTAATTATTTAATTCTCAATGTTGAAATAAATTTACTAATTCATTAAAAATATATTATAGCTTTATTCATTGATTAAAAAGATAAATTATGGAATTTAAAAATGGTAGACTTTAATAAAAATACATGAAACTTTTATTAAAGTCACAAGTACAATATTCAAATGATAAATTACAAGTATTATTGGTTTGCTATGTAATTTGTATTTGTAAGTATTATTGATTTGCTATGTAATTTGTATTTGTATGTAGTTGTGACATCTATATATGGATATTTTATTTTAGTATTGCGCTTTCAGATTTTGAAAAATTAAATAATCAAAGGTTCATGAATTTAGCTAATATAAAATTTTTGTTTCTTATATTGTAGTTAGCAAATGATAAATAGAAGTTAAAACTATATAACACTCTTTTCAATTCAAATAAAGAAAACAAAAAAAGTGCAAAAGATGGGAAGGGGGCCATTCTCCTGTCACATGCTATTTCATATGAGATTTTATAAAGTGGAAGATCCCAATTCCTGAAATAGATCCCACATCCATGACCTATCCCACTTTCATGTCATGTCACCCTTGAAATAGGCAAATGACAACCGATGTAGATGGTCTTATGTTTTTGGTTTCAGCCTCCCCAAGAGCCAAATGAAAGAAAAAAAAAGTCTCCATGATGGATGAGAAGAAAACGACAGGAATCAGGCGCAGCCCCGCCTCCAAAGCAAAAACCTAAAAAAAGAAAAAAAAAACACTAACTGACTTGCTTTTTTGTTTGACCATATAATCAGGATAACACATTTAAATAAAAAATGATGCTCATTTAGGGGGGGGGGGGGGGATACTCTTCAATACCTCCACTAGTTATTTGCAACAATTGAGGACTCGAAAGAAGAGGAAAAAAACAAAAACAACTGATAAATTATAAATTCAAATTTCAGAGTCCTACATCATTGATGAATTTGTTTGAAACAAAATATTATGATTAATCACATAAAATAGAATTCTAATGGAATAATGTAAGTCATTCATTCATTCTAATAATCAAGCATTGAAATTTATATAAATTATCTTCTTTAAAGCATATCAACTTTTGTCCAAAGTTATTAAAGATATATCAACGGTATGACATAATTGATAATATTTAGTTCTCATGTTAAGTTGTTAACCCCGTAAATTATGTTCACGTTCATCGTTGGTTTATGATAGATCAAGTCAAACTAGATAAGTTATGAAAAATTAAGAAATATGTGGGGTCGGGGCAGGGCGGGTCAAAAGTGGATACCCATACCCCGCCTCAGGGGCGGACCCATGTGTTAGGGAGGTGTGCAAGCGACACACCTCTGCCTGAATATTTTGTAAGAGATCCATGTTTTGTCGGTATAAGTTTTTGGAATTTAAGACTTCCGACACACCTTCATAACACTATGATGAAATTGGTGTCATAAAGTTCCCAAAATACGTAAATATATTATTTATTTTAAATTTTAGTTAACTTATGACAAATTTGGGGTTCTTTCCATTGCTTAAGCATTTAGACGCAATGATTTATTGCTCTTAGGTCTTAGGCAGGGGGAATCGTAAGGAAGTTTTCTCCTTTTTCTCTACCTGAATAAGTTTTGTTTCTTCTTGATTCTTGTAGCTTTCACATAGTTGTCCACCTAGTGAAAAAAATGCTCTTTCATCGAGAGTTCGGTTGCATATGGACTATCGCTCTTTATTATTATCTATCTTATAAAAAAAAACCTAGTGTTCTCTTTACTTCTTTCGATCTCACTTCTCATTATGTTTTCCATTAAAATATAATTAAATTTTATTTATTATTTTATCGATCGTCACACCTGTACGAGAATACTGGGTCCGCCACTGCCCCACACCACACTGTTGCGGGTCGGGTAATACCCACCTCATTGCGAGTCAAGTCGGATAATACCCGCGAGGCAGGTTCAAATTGCCCTCACTAGTTAGTTGTTTAATTAGTTGAGTGGTAAACCGATTTGGTTAGACTTAGGATAGATCATTGACTTCTTCCCGCAAACATCAACCATGTTCATCACGTCGGCTTTTAATTGAGAAATTAGCTCTAACTCATGTATGGTCAGGTACCATGGTTAAGCTTCCATCTCAATATACGTTTTAAATTAAAATTAATAGAGGTAGTTATACACAAAGTTGTACTCATCACGCTAATCCGCTCCCCGGCCGAAGGAATGGTATGGCAATCAGAGGCTTCTGCTTCCTAACGAACGGACCGAACTTATCTGAAAAATCCGGCCTCTCCTCGCCGTCCGGCAGCTTCCACTCAAACGAATGCAACATCGACGCCAGCACATGGTTCATGAGCCTCTCTGCCAGGTTCAGCCCGGCGCAAACCCGATGTCCGGATCCGAACGGCAGGTACTGAAAATTACTGCCCGTAAAACTAAACCTGGGCCCATTTTCAACCTCGTTCAAAAACCTCTCGGGCCTGAACTGTAGTGGATCGGCCCAGAGCTGTGGATCCCGGTGAATGGCCCAAGTGTTGATGAGAACTGTAGCTCCTTTCGGAATTGAGTAGCCGCCGACGGTACAGGGTTGACCTGCAACGCGAGCTACCATCGCTAGATGCAGCCGACAAGTCTCTTTAACGACGGCGTTTAGGTAGCTAAGTTCTTTGAGATGATGGTCATCCATAAGGCTCTTTGGCCCGACGATCCGGTCTAGTTCTTGCACTACTTTTATCATCACCTCTTCATTGCTTAGAAGCTCTGTTATCGCCCACTCGATTAACATCGCTGTTGTATTTGTGCCACCACTTGCTATATCCTGTATGTGAATAATAATAATAATGTACATGGATGAGATTTGAAGTTTAATACTTCATAATAATTACTTATCCCATTCATTTTTCTCTTTTTAATAATGCATAACCCAAATGGACTTTAAATTCCTCCTTGACTAATTAAATTTTTTATTATCCCTTTCTAAACCATCACCTTTTGTCTTAATTTTACATATTTTACATCAACCTACAATAGACAATGAACTAGTTGGATGAATATCACGATATCCATATAGATTCCGTGGCATATCGGATGTTTTACTTTAAACTATGGTTCTAATAAAGTCAACTCATACGAGTATATAGTTTTAAATAAAACACTTTAGACATTAATTTCTTCATTGTAGAATTGAGAAACAAAATATAATATGATAAATGAACTTAAATTGTTCAATAAAAGATGATTTTCACCTAAACTAAACTATATAATGTAATAACGTAAAATTCAAAATATATTGAATAAAAATATATAATTTAAACATAAAAGGTCGAGAATTGAGCGGGCTACGACAGATTAAATCGTACCGAGTTATGTTTATGCTTCTCAAAATAGACCAGACAAATCTGGTAGGACAAGTCATGTTGGGAATTACAAAAAAAGACAAAAGATGGGAACGTACCAAAATCAAGCCTTTGAAGTGAACGGACGAGGTCGAGGCGATCAACGATCCCGTCGACAAGTCTCCGCCGCCACCCTGAACTTCCAACAAAATCTGGAGCAAATCCTTGGACGCCATTCCCTTTTTCCCCGCCAAATCCCCCAACCGCCGTTCAATCACAGAGCTAATCATCCCATCCATACGCGCCGCCAGCACCGCAGCCTCCCTCTGTACCCCCTGCAGATCAAACCTAGCCAGCAGAGGAAACGCGTCGGAGACATTCGGCCGCCCCATCAGCTGCGACACTTCCCTCGTCGCCTCCCGATACTCCGCCGCGAAATCAGCTCCCCCCTCGCCGTCGCCGCCGCCCCACAGCATCGCCAGAGTCGAATCCACAACCAACTTGAACGCCGCATCGAACACCCGCGTCGGCTTTCCGATGCTCTCGGCTCGAATCTCTCGAATTCCCGCCGCAACCGCCCGCTCCCTCAGGGCGTGACACGTGTCGAGGGCCCGGTTGCTCAAAACGTCGCGGACCAGGATTTTACGCAGCCCGGCCCAATCGGGGCCCCAAGGCAGGGTCCCGACTTCCATCCCGCCGTAACCGAGGATTTTCACCGCGATCGGGGTTGGGCGGGCCGAGAATGTGGACTCGTTGGCCCGGAGGACTTCTCGGGCCAGGGCCGGGGAGCTGACCACGACCAGCAACTTGCTCGGGGTTTGGATTTTGTAGATTGGGCCGTGGGCCTGGGCCAGGGCCGTGAATTGGCGGTGGAGGTGGTTGGGGCGGAGGAACGGCATGTAGCCGACGATCGGCAGCCCCCGTGGACCTGGCATCGAATTTGGTGTACGGCGGAGATACGTGAGGAAGTAGAGGCCGGCGGATACCAATATTGCGATGGATATGGTGAAAAGTGATGCCGAAGTCTCGTCCTTGAGTAGAGAGACTAGGAAAGTGGCCATAGAAACCTGCCAAATTTTGATTTCGAGGAATTGGATTGAATTGCCGATTGTGAAATTCTATGGACTGTTGAAACTTGACACTCCACGGGGTTTAAATATAGAAGGAATCTGCCACTAGTAAGATATTTATATTACATGTTGGCTAGTACTGGTACTTTAGTTTAAAAGAAAATTACGGTACAAATTGAAGTTGTATTTTTAGTGTTATGATACAAAATCAAATTGTGTTTTATTTTTAGGTACAAAAAATACTATAACACAACCTGAACTTATACATTTAATGTTATGATACAATTTAAAATTTTATCTATACATTTTCATGCAAAAATAAAACAAACTAAACTTATAGGTTTAACATCTTCATACAAATTCAATATGTATATGAAAATTGGGCTCATTGACATTATATATTTACTAGATTGTGGCCCGGCCGATTGGCCGGGTGGTTTTCATTTTTGTAATTTGATCTTTTCTTTGAAAAATAATTTATATTCATATAATATTCTTTATAATTCAATTATTTAGTAAAAAAATCTGAAAAGTCAAAATCAAGTATGGAATTTTAATTTCAAAGTAAGGAAATTAAATTCCCTCTTAAGGAAAGAAGAAAAATCTCATATTAAACTACGCGGGATGTTTCTTAATCAACATGCATGACATTATTCTCTTACTCAAAATAATGGTGTGTATCTTCAATAATTAACTCTGGACTACCAACACTCAATTTTTAGACTGAGTATCAATTAAGGGTTCATCTTAACATACATCATAATACACGAAGTTTGATTATGCTAATTGAATTAGGCTCAAGAATTATGAATATATGTTTATAAAATCATAGTCTAAATTCAAAATTTATAAATTCTTTGATTTATACTTGAACCGAACTCTTTATTAATATTTCTGGGTGTTATACCTACTATTTTATGATTCTATATCCCGATATATATGCTTTATCAAACGGTCTTATATAGGTTAAGTGTCTGGTATTTTTATAGCCATTTTTTATTATTGATCTTGTAGCAAGTATTTTTGTACTATGATATAGCTATTAATTATTAGGGTAATATCTATTTTTTATCCTATTTTTTCCAGATTCTTTTATATTATCAAAACCTATCGAAATACTAAAAATTAGCCAAATGTTAACTTCCATATAGAAATTTTGTTAGTAATATTGACTTGACAACATGATACTGACTTGAAAGAGACACATGAAGGTAAACATTCCAAAATTTTAATATTTTAACTAAGAAAATAGTTACAAAATTATTAACGATAAAGTAAAAATGGCTAATATTTTGATGCATTATAAATTTTTGGTTAGTTAATAAAATTTTAATAGATTTGGATAATATAAAAGAATCTGAAAAAAATTTGGATAAAAAATAGACATTACCCTAATTATTAATTTAAACAAAACAATCACATGGACTAAATTCAAAGCCAACCATGTAAAAGTAAAATAACTTGTATGAGAAAAAAAAGAAATACTAAAATGTTTGCGTCAAAACTCACTGATGGATAAAAAAATATGATGACTTATGTTTTAGTGGGTAGTGGGACTAAAAAAGAAAAGGAAAAAGAGCTAAAAATTAGTAGGTTAGTTAGACAAATCCGGAAAAGAAAAGAAAAGAAATTGACAGTGGGGCATGCGAATAGAGGGGAGGGAATGAACGTATTCACCCTTCCAAAATGTAAGGTATGGTCCGCAGTGGCTGATGTGGCAAATTGAGTTTTTTTACATTGCCTTATAGGTATTTTTAGATATTGTTTGATGAGTCCACTTGGGATCCAATTTTTTTTTTTTTTTTGGTTTAATCGTTGGGATCCAAATTCATTTATTCTCCTACGGTAAATTATCTTCCCTTAGTAGTTAGTACTAGTCTTATGGAATATCAGACGACTGGCCAAAGTTAAAAATACATATGTCAACTGATATATGTACTTACAATACATTGGGTGTAACAATCACCAAGTCAACTTATAGTTAAATGAAAAGGTGTCGATTGATGTGTTCCAACAACTTTTTTTTGGTGAAAATGTGTTCCAACTACTAATCCAAAAGAAAAATAATCTTGAATGACTCGTTTAATACGCAACGTGAATTTCCAGTGGGTAGCAAACATCACATATTACTATTAATAACTATAGATATGTCTGGAGTAATTTTTTTATAGAAACACATGTATGCTTTTATTAATGTAAACTTTGAATAACGAAATCACACAAGACACGATTTAACGTGTTATCCCCGACGAATCGGGACTAATCCACGGGAGAGCTTTTGAATATCTCCGGCTACTGATATTATAAGGGTTTTAACTTGCATACAAGCAAGCTCTCGACTGCCCATTTATACTAGTAACTAGGGCTGCCTTAGGGTTACAACTCATCACACATAAGGGAATCTCCTTGGACGTGGGAAAGACATGAGCTGCATGGACACTCAGGCTGCTGAGCTTCTCGTCATTACTAGGCTCAGCGTAATCAACGTGGGCCTGACACAATACTCCCCCGCAAGCCGGAGCGTGAAGATACCGAAGGTGCAGCTTGGACAAGAGAAATCGAAAACGATCAACACCCACCTTTGGTGAGAAGATCCGCCAGTTGAAGAGTAGAAGAAACCTTGACAGGAAGAATGTGGCCCGACTGAACTCGCTCACGAACAAAGTGACTGTCCATCTCCACATGTTTAGTGTGCTCATAAAAGACCGGATTATTGGCAATGTGAAGGGCCGCCTGGTTATCACAATGGAGAGGAGTCGGACCAGACTGAGGTAGACCAAGTTCCTGGAGCAACCAACGAAGCCATATGATCTCGCTGACAGTACTGGCCATAGCCCTGTACTCCGCTTCGGCCGAGGATCGAGCGACAACTCGCTGCTTCTTGGTTCGCCAAGAAATGGGAGCACCGCCGAGTGTGATGAAATAGCCAGTCGTGGAGCGACGCGTACGCTGGAAACCACCCCAATCGGTATCACAATAAGCAGTGAGACGAAGGGGAGCATCAATAGGAAAGAAAAGACCCTGACCAGGAGAGCCTTTAATATAACGCAGCACCCGAAAAGCAGCATCTAAATGCATCTGACTGGGTGCGTGAACAAACTGGCTGAGGATATTAACAGCATAAGTGATGTCAGTTTGCGTGGACAAGAGACGACCGACCAAACGTCTGTATAGAGAGGGGTCTGGTAACACATCATCAGTGGATTTTGTCAACTGATGATTCTGCTCAACTGGGAAGGAACTAGGCCGAAACCCCTGAACACCTACGTCTTCTAGGATGTCGAGAGCATACTTCCGCTGGTTGAGGACGACACCAGTGGATAAGCGAGAAATCTCAATACCCAAGAAGTAGCGAAGAGGGCCGAGATCCTTGATGCTAAAACGAGCATCAAGAAACTGCTTAACACGATCAATGAATGGTAAATCATTTCCGGCTAGAAGTACATCATCCACATAGATGAGAGCTGTGACAAAAGTGCTCCCCCGTTGGTAGATAAACAAAGACGCATCAGCTGGAGAAGACCGAAAACCAAACTCGAGCAAAGTCAAGGTGAATTTCTGATACCAATTGCAAGAAGCCTGTTTCAAACCATAAATGGACTTGCGTAGCCTATAGACTCGGTTATCACCAGGTGCTCGAAACCCTTGAGGAATAGTCATGTAAACCTCCTCCTCAAGATCACCATGGAGGAAGGCGTTGTTAACATCCAATTGATGAAGATGCCAACCACGATTAACTGCAACTGCGATGAGACAACTAACGGTAACCAATTTTGCAACCGAGGCAAATGTATCATGGAAATCAAGGCCTTCAATCTGGGTATAACCCTTGGCTACCAGTCGCGCCTTGAATCGCTCAATACTGCCATCAGGGTAGAATTTGATTTAAAAAACCCATTTTGACGAGATGGCTCGTTTTCCAGGAGGGAGGTCCACGAGATTCCAAGTACCGTTTTGCACGAGGGCCTGGATCACTTTTGCCATCGCAGCCCGCCATCGAGGGTCGTGGAATGTTTGTTGAAACGTGGTCGGCTCCTCAATCCCAGTTAGCGCTGCAAGAAAAGCAAAATAGGTTGGTTTAAAACCATCATAAGAAACATAGGAGGAAAGAGGGTAGCGAACTAAATGGGAAGCACTTCCCTTGTGGTCATCAAGCGTGATGTAATTCTCTAGGTATTTGGGCCTCACGCGCACATGGTCACCTCGTCGAACAGGCGGAGGCGAAGGTGTGGGACTGGCTTCATCAGGAGAAGGAGGGGCAACCGAGTGGTTGCGGGCAGTGACTGGTGAAGTGCTTGAGCTGGGAGACATGCGGTACACCAGATTTCACCCGGGGTATCGTAGACGGCACTACATATATACATACATATATATATATATATATACATCTTCGCAGGGGCGTAGCCAGGATTTTGTCGAGGGTGGGTCCATTTAGAAAAAATACATACGATAAAATAATTTTGTTAACTTTCTAAATCGTTCATGATATAATTTTGTATTTGCAAAAACTTGGTAAATTAAATTATATGTCAAAACTATCAAGAATATCACCATATATGTATCAAACAATTATTTATGATTAGTTAGACATTTGCTTTTGAATCGTGTTCTTCGTCAAGACCGTTTAGTATCATTAACTCCAGTTGTTAGGAAAGATTTAATAATGAATCTAATACTATTTAGTATTTACTAACACTTTCCTGCTTACTACAACCAACTTATGCGTGCTTAAAGTTTACGTAAATCCGAATATCATGTGTTTAACAAATGAGATTACAAAGATTCGAACAAATGATATTTTAGTCAACCATTCTCAATTAGAAGTGCCCTAAATTTCATTCTCAATTAACTATTATACTAATTTACTCATTTTCGTCCTTAGGAAACACCTGTTACAATCTCCTACCCCTGATTGAAATAAAATTATTTTTACAAATGAATTATGATTTGGTGGAAATTTGTTGTAAATATTGAATACATACATCTTCAATTTTGGGCGAATCATATACATCATTATCATTTGTACATAGCTCGTTATAAATACATTGAATATGTCAACGCTCGTTATAAATCATACATCAAATATTTCAAAGGTCTACCAATTTCATTTAAATACGTATTATTTTTCATACCCGATTAACTATTGTACCTAATTGACCATTTTCTAACCCGAGTCAGGGTGGGTCCCGGGACCCACCCTCTAACTCTCTCCCTCCACCCCCGCATCTTCGGATGCTCCGTTTATATTAATTTTTTTAGTTTCATAATGTATCAATAAGTAAAATATTGGGTAAATACAATATATTAGCCACAACTATAATGAAGTGGGGAATTATAGCCATAACTATGGAAATTCAAATTATTAGCCAAACGTTAACTATTTGTTAACAATTTCGTTAGTAATATTGACTAAACTTTTATGTTTCAAAGTTATAAATTAAAAGCAGTCCGACGTGGCTGTTGCTGTGGTCGATGATGTAACCTTCTAAGTTAAAAATTCAATAAAAGTAATGGACAGTTAGCCATATCTTGACCCGCAACAATAGTTATGGCTAATAATTTGAATTTTTATAGTGTGGCTATAATTCCCCGCTTCATAATAGTTGTGGATAATATATTGTATTTACCCTAAAATATTTTACTTTTGTATTTTCTAGTATTAATGCAACATGTTACTGCAATATCTTACATTATTTGTTATTTTATATAGTGTCATATATGTATTGTTTTTTATATTATATTATGAAATATACAATTTTTGTTTTCATATAGTGAATTGAATTTTCATCCAAACCAATTCAAAGTTCAAATCGTGACTTAAGAAATTCGTAGGATTTTGAAATTAATGGGTAAATTGGATTTACCATCATTCGACCCGAAACTAATCGATTGGATAGTTAAAAACGGTTAAAACCGGCCGAACTAACCCTTGTAAACCTATATTCCCCTAATCATAATTCATAACCATATATAATAGCTGTCAAAATGGGTACATGTGTTATTCGTGCTTAAGTTTTATCTTGTAGTTCGTAATCCAACTCTATTGTCAATGTTGACGTTGACTGCCACTTCCATTCTGGCACCACTTCAGTCTTTTTCTTGTTACATAAAATTAGCACGTTCCGTCCTTCATCCGACCATCTCTGGATCCAGTGGTGGATCCAGGGGTGGCCACCCAAGGCCCCGGCCCAGCCCTCCTCTGGATCCGTAGTTAGAATAGTCCTTATGAATTTTTCGATCTTAGGCATTCGGCTTAGTGTGATTTTATAATAAAATTGGGTATAACTAGATAAATGATTCAGATGACCATATTCAAATCACTACTCTAAATTTAGCCTTTAAATTTTAGCTCCAAAGATTATGCATACAAAAAAACAATGAAACCTAAAATTCTAAAAGTTTAAAATGTAAAAGATTAAAAGAAATATGAGGTTTGTTCCCTTGAAAACTTACTAGAGCAGTTGGTGGATCCAGGGATTGACACACAATGCCAATTGATTAGTCGATTGATTTGTCTAGTGTTAATACTGCTCGTTTCAACAGCTACTACGAAGAGAACCTTTTCAACAATGAAATATGTGAGAACTGATTTGCTCAACAAAATGAGCGATGAATTTCTTGCCGATTGCTTAAGTATTTTATTTGAAATAGTGTATACTATTGGTATGGATGTAGGCTCCATTATTGATGCATCACTAAATTAAAATACCGTCGTGTACAATTTACATTGGAAAAAAACTATAATCATTATGTTTTTTTACTATTCAATTTTCTAATGAAACTCGATTCAGTGCTTTTCTGTGTTCTGCATCCGCCGCTGTGTGGATCTTGTGGTGAAAATGGCCCCTGCACTTGCAAGCTGTAATAAAATTATTATTGTAAAGTTTTATCCTAGGATTTGGGTGATGGGTTTTCAAATCCATCATTATCATTATCATGTATTTGATACAAGTACACTGTTTGCTGAGAATACAAAATCGTAGGGGCCCACAAATTTTTTAGATTTAAATTTATAAATCTTACGTATTTGTAAATATTTTATGGAACGTAATAATTTAAAATCCATTGTAAAAAACTTTTAAATCTATGATAAAAGTAAAATAAACAAACAATAAACTCTTTCTAATACATAATGTAAACAAATCTATCATTTTCAAAATGCAAAACCTTCATTCAAACTTGGATAGAAAGAAATTTTGAATAGACAAGATTGAAAAATACTGGGCACTATCAAATCCAACAAGTAAAGGTTTGGTCATCAAATAAAAGCGATTCGACTCGTGGATCTCGGATGAATCCGTGATCCGTCGGGGAAGGGGAATAGCCTTATTTGGACCCACGTATGAGATCCATCTTTAGTTCAGGGCCAAAGTCTGCCAAGCTAGGTTTAAGGACCCTCTCTTGGACTCTAGCCCTATCATTGCCTTCTCCTTACTTAAGCCCAAACCAAACACTAACCGAACCCTATAAACGCCTTCTTCCCCCGATCCCTACGGGTAATTGATTCTCTCGCAGTACACATCATACGTACAATAGGGTTATCTCCACATACTCTCGAAAATGTATCCACCCCGATAAATCTCTCAATCACATAATGTGATTGAGAGATTTATCGGGGTGGATATATTTTCCGAGTTCGTGAAGATAACCCTACCATTTCGCACAAATTTTTTGTGAAAAACCTGTATTTTTTTGTACAAAAAAATTTAATACAAGATTTCCGTCACCGCTTTAATAATTATAGCCAATAATCGTTCATTAAGCGAATCCCCTCTTCAACAATCCTGGGTCCGCACTGATCAGATGTTTGGTCACTCGATTTATTAATAAGTTTTATGCTTACACTTGAATTTTTTTCCTTTATCAGTCACTAGTGGCGGAGCCAGAATTTGAAAGTACATGTGTCCTCTTTCTATAATATAAATATATAAATAAATAAATATAATGAAAACTAATAATATCCAATAATACAATTCATTCATAGATATTAAAGCGGTGACGGAAATTAATATTTCATTGTTGGTTATTTGTCGTTTGTTTTTTTAAATTTGTTCTAAATAACAATCAAAATAATATTTGACCATTTATCTAAAAATAATAATAATCAAAATAATATTTGACCATTAAGTTATCCACGTGTCAATTATAAACTAAAAAAAATTTACACTTCAACAGTCGCCACCGCTACATTCCAATCCATGAAAACCCACTCATTCTCTTCCTCATTACTTATCCAAGGCGCAAACTACTAGTTCACCAAGATAAACTAATAACAGAGACAAGAGTGGACTAATTTCATGTCCTAGAAGGGAGAGACAAAGTATAATAACAAGAAGAAGGAACCATAATCGAACAACAACCGGCCACGGCGGGAGGTTGTGTGGAGTAGGGATGGCAAAAATATCCGTAACTGTGGATATCCACCCGAACTCGGCCTAATCGGGTAGGGTAAAACCCGAATCCGAAGGACATTTAGTGGGTACGGGTAAAACCCGAACCCGAATATTGCGGGTAATGGGTGGGCATGGGTTTCTCAGTATCCAACCCGAACCCGCCCGATTATACATATACATATGTATTTTGTCTAGAAATAGTCATTATTTTTCTCTAACATATTTTATACTTAGCATATAAATATAATATTTTCATGAAATTGTGTTGTTTTAATTAATTTTCTTCATTCTAGCGAATTATTGTCATACTTTTCCTCTTGCATAATGTGAGAATACGTGTGAATGTTAACATATTAGTTGAAGTTATGAAGAGAAATCATTACCCATGGATAACCGTGGATACCCGAAACGCGAACGGGTATGGGCATGGTTTTAATTTTCTACCCGTTTTATATGTGGGTATGGGTATGGGTAAAACCCGAACTACTTTGGGTAGGGTAACGGATATGCACTATCCGTCCCCGACCCGACCCATTGCCATCCCTAGTGTGGCGTTCGGCTCGCGGTGGGTTGTTCGGAGGTCTTCTCCTCTTCTTCTCGCATGTCGGGTTCGGTGGGTGCCGATCTGTGCTTGGCTCATGGTGGCGTTTCCCGTCGGGGGAGGTGCTTGGTTTGGTGCAGGGATGGTCACCGACCGCGGCGGCTGGAGGAAACAGAGGGGCTCGGGTGTTAGGGTTTGGGAAGGGGCCTTCATGTTTTGGTCCTGGGTTCGGGCCCTATTGAGTTCTGGGTTTGTCTTTGGGCATGGTTGTTTGGTTCTTTCTTTTGTTCCTTTTACATTGTAGCTTGTACATTTCCTTCTTGGGCTGAGCCCAGTCGTTTTCTAATGAACTTACCCCAACTTAAAAAAAAAAAAAAACCCGACCACCATCATAAACAAAAGACCTCCAATAAAGTCCAACAAAAGGCCATTAATCATCAAACCCAAACTAATCAACCACAATTAGCTTATTAAACAACATTTTCGCACAACACAATGACATCTGAAAACTCGAAACAAGACAAATTTATGCATCCACCTCATAACATATTCCAACCAACACATCTTGCCTTCCCACCCTTATTTTTTTTTAATCTTCTAGTACAGCTCCAAACTCGACAGCCTGGGAGTAGGAACAAGAACCAAAGGGTTCATCTTCTTGATCACAATCCCAAATTTGTCCTCCAACTCCAGCTCCGTCCCCGCGGGCAACTTCCAATCGAACGAATGCAATAACGTGGCCAACACGTATTTCAACGTGTTGACCGCCAGAGGCTGGCCAGGACACACCCTCCTTCCAGATCCGAACGAAAGGAACTGAAAGTTGTTCCCTTGGAAATCAAACTTCGTGTCGTCCTCCACGCCGAGGAACCTGTCCGGTTTGAACTCCAGAGGGTCTTCCCAGAGTTGTGGGTCGGTGTGGAGGGCGTAGGCGTTGAGATAGACGATTGTGCCCTTGGGGATGGTGTACCCGCCCAGCTCGCACGTTTTGCTAGGGCAGCGTGGCGCTAGGAACGGCAGTGCTGGATGGATTCGAAGCGTCTCCTTGATGACGGCTTCTAGGTAGGTTAGGTGGGGGAGATGAGATTCCTCGACGACGTCGTTTTGTCCGACGATTTCGTTGAGTTCTTTGTAGACTTTGGACATTGCGTCTGGATGTTTGACAAGTTGTGCCATTGTCCACTCCAACATGGTCGACGTTGTGTCTGTGCCACCCACCAAGATGTCATGTTGGAATAAACTCCAATCAATCAATTAAGTTTGTGATTTTACCAAGAATTGTGAAACGCTTTCGTAAGTTGTTCCGAAAAAGTTAGTGGTTATCTTGTAAATAATAGTGGGCTAATGATGTAGGCTGGTTATGGAATATATTACAGTAGTGTGGTTCTCATACTGTAAATGGGGAGGTAGGAAGTCAAAGAGTACGTAGTGAGGTAGTGTCTGTGCCTTAGTTTGTTTTTGCCGTTGATACAGCTTCTGTATTTTTTCGACAGAAGAAGCTTTGGCCATATCTGGCCAAAAGCTGGAGCTATAATAAGAATACAATAATTTCCGGAAAATAGAGTTAGCTAGTGGTGGGATATTTTGTGTTAAAATCGTGTTTAATTATTTCATACCACTAAAATGGTGTGTCGATTTATGCTCCGAGTTTCTTTATCGACATCTGATACGATTTTGCAAATATTAATTTTTAGTCCTTCATTTTTCATGAGAGTGTTAAGTATATATGGTTCCATATTCGGAAGAAACGGACACATCAATTGGGGAATGGATCAGGTCAGTAACCTTATGGTGAGTAAACCATGAGTAACCCGTCCACATCAGCATGACATCAGCATCCTCTCTCTCCTGGAAAGCCTTTAATTTTCCTCTCTTTAATCTTTGACGGACGGTTTCTCACTCATTTTAAGTCGAAATTTAATTTTTTTTGCACAGTTAGATCAGATTAATTGTGCTCTTCAAAATGATATCCACTTTAATATATTTTTCGAACAAAAAAAAATTGAGTCGTTTTTAACCAGTCTATACCATATGGTATTGACTGGTATTGAAATAAAAGCATACCTATGGTTTGAAATACGTGCCATGGTGGTATGAACAAACCAAGACTGTAGGATGGTTGAATACATGATAGTAGAAGTATATTAATTGTCATTTACGACTTTTAACATTGTATACCACATAATACCACCCCGTACCAGGGCGGTATTGTATGGTATTGTGTGGTATTTTTTGGTCATGTAATTTGTTCACCCAGAAATTTGTAGATCCAATAGATCATGATGAACTCGTCCCTTCTGTGCAAACGTTTTCAAAAACGAATTAAAAACGAAGAAGATACCATACAATACCACCCCGTACCAAGGTGGTATTGTATGGTATTGTGTGGTATTTTTTGGTCCTGTAATTTTTTCACCCAGAAATTTGTAGATCCAATAGATCATGATGAACTCGTCCCTTCTGTTCAAACTTTTTCAAAAACGAATTAAAAACGAAGAAGATACCATACGGTATGCAGTTGGTACCGAGAGGCCAGAATTTTTTTTTCTCAAAAAATATTGAAAATTGATCTCATTTTGTTGAGCACGATGAACTCGTTCCATCTATGCAAAAAAAAAAAAAAATTAAAATTCGAGTTAAAACGAAAAAGATATGAGTCAATTAAGAAAACTAGAAAAAATAAAAATAGTCTTTAATTCTCCTTGCTTAGGTCTCAATTTTCTAAATAAAGGGTCCAGATTTGGTTATTAATGGGTGCATAACCCATGTTTATGCACCCTATCTTAAAGCTTAAGGACTAGAACCTACGCCACCCACGTATGTTCTCATCCTTGCCAGCTTCTCTAATTGTACTTAATACTTATTAAGTATTAGCGAACCCCTATAATTTGTTTAATAAGTAAGGTCATTATGATAACTGAGAAGGCATTAAAACAATACGAAAACAACTAATCATGTCATTATTATTATTATAGTATATATAAATGCAAGTTGCATGCACGTAACCATACCACTGCTGTTGTTTATTTATTCATAAGGAATCAATTATCTCATCAATCAAGTGAACCAATTCAATCATACTATGATACTAATAACTATAATCTTTTTAAGTGTTTAAACTAGTTCAGCTTCTGCATAACCTAACTTACGGTGTAGAAACCCACGTAAAAGAGTGATATAAAATTTAACGCTCAAAAACCTTACCACAAGCAGAGCTTTGACTTGATTGGTAGTAACATAGCTTTCACCGTCGCTGCCACCGTCGCGATTCAAATCCAACAACACCTGCAAGATATCCTTCCTCCCGTTGCCTCCCCTCTTATCAACCGCCCTCAACCGCTCCTCGATCACCGAGCTCAGAATCTCATCGAACTTGTCGAGCAACCTCTTCGACTTCTTCTCAATCCCCTGTAAATCAAACCTGGCCAGCGCCGGAATAAAGTCCGACACGTTCGGCGTACCCATCAACACCAACATCTCCGACTCCAGCTCCCTGAACTCGCCGTAGAACCCCTCGTCGTCCCCCGCCACTCCTCCCCACAACATGCTCAGCATGGCGTTCGTCGTCGTTTTGAACGCCATTTCGCCGAAATCCATCGCTTCCCCGCCGGAACATCTCTTGTGCACCTCTTTGACGGAGTTTCTCACCTGCTGCTTCCTTAGCCCGTAGCATTCCTCCAGATTCGCCCCACCCAACATCTCCCTCACAAACACCTGATGAAAAAGAAAATAACAAATTGTTCGTACGTAAGTATTATAAGATTCACTAGCGAATCCACCGGTTCTCGTAACTAGTTATCGCTAAACTTAAATATGATGATCATGTACAAAATTCAAATTAAACGACGGTTAAATTTTTCGTTTGAAAATCAGTTAAAACGTTTCGACCGAAAAATTAGGATGTGACAATAAATGTTATATAATTATCGTTCACTAAACTTAAATACGACGATCGTGTACAAATTTCAAGTTCGTTAGATTTTCGTTTGATAAATTAGTTAAAACTTTCGATCGAAAATCAAGACAATAAAAAACAAATTACGAAAGGGTCGTCTATAAAAACAAACCTTTCGGAGCTTCTTCCAGAGTGGGCCGTAGTTCGAGAATGCCACGTCATCGCCGCCGTAAGTCAGGACCACGGCGGAGATGGGCGGGTCGCGGTTGGCGAAGACGGCGTCCTGGTCTCTGACGATCTCTTTGACTAATGAAGAGGAGCTGACCACCATGCAAAGCTTCCTCCCTAGCCGGAGCGAGTAGATGGGGCCGTAGGTGGCGGCGAGAGCGGTGAACTCGCGGTGGAGGTGGGTCCCGAGGAAGGGGAGGTAACCGACCAGCGGCAACCCGGTCGGACCGGGAGGCAGTGGGGCCTGTTTTTGTCTTCTGAGGAAGCGGGAAAGGAGGAGCCCCGTCGATAGCAGGAGAGGGATGGCTGTTACGAGGAAGTAGTAGGCGCTGATGTCACCTTTTGCCGTGGCGGCGCCGGGGGTGTAGCATGCGCGGAAAGAATGGAGCATGCAGGATAATAGGAAGTTGAGAACCATGGTTGACTTTTGACACGTGTTTGTTGTTGTTGTTGTGTGGGGATAATGATGAGCCCTATTGTTGGGAGGTTTGTGGCCTAGATAAAGGGCGTGGAACTCAGGGATAAGACAAACGGAGGGATCTTTGATGCTCCTTCGTCTGGCTACTGTAGATGCGGGATAATAGGAAGTTGAGAACCATGGTTGACTTTTGTTGTTGTTGTGTGGGGATAATGATGAGCCCTGTTGTTGGGAGGTTGTGTGTAGGGATGGCAAGTAGACCCATAATAAAAAATCAATTCATAAATTTTATATCGTTCTAAATTCATAATCAAAACCTATAATCCGTAATAATAATGAGTCATATACACGATGTAGGTACGAAGACCCCCATAATTTAGAGGCCTTGTGGAGGGCGGGCCAGCAGCACACCCTCTAGGCCGGGCCTGTCTCCATGAATATGCGAAATTTGTAAATAGTGATCCGCCAAGAGGGGATACAAGAATGAGATCCCACTTTCCATTCACGATTTAGCACAATGTGAAACAAAGAAGAGGTTATCCTTACAAAAAATGCGAATAGAATATAGTGAGGGGCAAATCGATTCAATCGAGGAGTAAAACCAAATAAAAAAATCCAAGTTTATTCGTAACATATTAGACGGATATTCATCAAAATTTTCATTTCTACCCATTTTCATATTTTCATTTAGAAGATTCATAATGGTGCCGACATTTGCTGCTGGCTATTTCCCCATCACAGAACCCTTACCCTTCTCCTCTCCGTCCGTTTCCCCCACCGCCACCACAAACAACGCTATCGCAGGCTCGCAGCAAGCCCCTGGTAACTCCCAGCCCTACGTGATCACAATTTGCCAACGTCACTTTCGACACGAGAAACTGTCTCTTCTTCTTCTTCTTCCATGTAACTCTATTATGTTTTTGGTTTCAGCCTCCCCAAGAGCCAAATAAAAAAAAAAGTCTCCATGAATAACGCGATCATGATGGATGAGAAGAAAATGACAGGAATCAGGCGCGGCCCCGCCTCCAAAGCAAAAACCTAAAAAGGAAAAAAAAAAAAAAACACTAACTGACTTGCTTTTTTGTTTGACCATATAAGCAGATACTCTTAAATACCTCCACTAGTTATTTGCAACAAATGAGGACTCGAAAGAAGAGGGAAAAAACAAAAACAATTGATAATGAGATCATGATGGATGAGAAGAAAACGACAGGAATCAGGCGCTAATACCTCCACTAGTAAGATATATTTATATTACATGTTGGCTAGTATTGGGTACTTTAGTTAAAGTTTAAAAGAAAGGCTAAATTACACGTTTGATCACTCAAATTATACAAATCTTTCACATTTTCCACTCGAATTGCTTTTCTTTCTTATTCGCCACTAACTTTACGAATCGTTTCACGTTAGTCACCGGCCGTTACACTCCGTTAAATTTATCCTACTTGGCAGTCAACCATAAAGTTTGACTGTTAACTCGATGACGTGGAAATTAGAAAATGAAAAAAATTATTTTCCACCTCATCATTTCACTTAATTTGTCTGATTTATTATATGAATTATTTAATAAAAAACAAATTATAAAAATTACTTATCAAGGGCAGGAAGAAATTGCAGAGGCAAGGTATCACCGCCTGGTCCATGTTCTCAAAGTTATTGACGGTCGGTACGACGATAATGAGTTTCAGCAACGTCCTCCGTTCTCGTCGACAAAAATATTGCCTAAACTTACGCGTTACGACGATGAGGACAAAAGCATTGAAGCAATCGAGAAGACAAATTGGTACCAGTCTCTGCCACGGCGGCTTTTCATCTTCTGCTAGGACACTTCGTGCATTTCGCCGGCTAAAGAATCAATTACTCGCTCCATTTCCACAATGCCTTCCCCGATGTCGCGAAACTCTAACGCTTCGTCGCCAATCGATTCGAGGAGCGGATTCTGCCCGAAAACAAAGATCTATCAGTGTCTCAGATCTCCAGCACCACTTCCACAAGCAACCGCACCGCTCTCCGTCACTAATTACGTATTCTCTCTTATCAATTCCTTCCCCCTGCCACCGACAGTCTCAGCTCTCCTAGACGGCATCACTTGCAACCGAAATATTTCCAAGGCAACAGAAGAAGGCAACTTCTAGGAAGGGAACCAAAGGAAGGCAATTCAAGGTCAAAAGTCGTCAAAAAGACAGACAACGAAAAAGAAAGAAAGAAACGGCCCCGGAAGAAGAAAATACAGAGCGCGGCGGAAACAGAGAGCGAGCAGAAAGAAAACAGAGGCGATTTCTCTCATTTTTCATGGCGTTGTATCGATTTCGGGATCATGTACGTGATTCCTCTCCAAATCGTCAAGTTTCTTTCTTTTTTGACCGCCACTAACAATTTGCTAATGATTTGTGGAGAGGAAGCTCAAACTGTTCTGAGTCTTCCCTTCTTCTTTTATAGATAGTAATGTAATTAGCAGAACAACGACAGGTGTCTCAAAATAACAGGCTGGGAATTTAAACAAACAGTGCTAATAACGGCTAACAAGAACTAATGGCTACGACGTCTCTCCTTCTTTTCTTCTACGAGTGACAGCAATACGACATCGCATCCTCCTCTTCTCTTCTTCCTCATCTTCAATCCTTCTGCAATCAGGATTACAGCTTCACTTCTTCTTCTTCTGCAACCTGTGATTCTTCTTGGTTCTGTCAGCCACCGGCGGCGGGAGAAACTACGGCCTCTTCGAATCAAGGATCCTCATCGTCCTCGGCGGTGAGTCCTGAGGTAGAATCAGAAACGAATCTGTCTCGTGTAAACCGTGGGTTGGGTATTGATTTGAATAGGGAATTCAATCCTTGCTTATTAGGCGGTGGGGGAAAGGTAAACGAGGCGGTGAGTGCTGGTAGTGGTGATTCAACGGCGGTTGTTGATCGGAAGAGCTCTCCAATTAGCAATAAGGACGGCGACGACGGTGATTTTTCTCCGCCAGTAGAGGCTCTGAAAGCTATGAATCTGTGAATCAACGAAAGCAGAGGGATCGACATTAACAGAATTGGTGACGAAGAAGGCGACAAAAAATGAGGTGGGGAGGAAGGGAAAGAACTACAAAATGACAGTCGGCTTACGGTCCTGATTAAAGCTGCGGAGCTTGCTTCCGGTGACGATTGTTGTCGTCGACCAGTTGGGATCCGAACGAGATGCCGACGACTGCCGCGGAGGAGACAGAGGACGAGTCAGAGCCTCATTCGCCGTCGATCATGGGAAGCGGCGGTGGACGAATTGCGTTGCGGGGGACAAAGAGGAAGAGAAGGAACAAGTGTTGGGTGGTGGATTTGTACAGGGACAAGAATGCGATGAGGACGGAGGCGGCAGCCGGCAGTGGCGGGATCGAAATCGAAGAGAGGGATGAGCAGCCAGGTGCTTCCGTCGAGGTATCGAGATGCTTCCGTGCGTTTAACAAACTAAATGGGGGGATGACGTGGAAAAATAAATTTAAGTTTTTTTATTTTTTAATTTCCACGTCATCGAATTAACGGTCAAACTTTATAGTTGACTGCCATGTAGGATAAATTTAACGGAGTGTGACGGCCAGTGACTAATGTGAAACGATTCGTAAAGTTAGTGGCGAATAAGAAAGAAAAGCAATTCGAGTGGAAAATGTGAAAGATTTGTATAATTTGAGTGACCAAACGTGTAATTTAGCCTTAAAAGAAAATTACGTACAAATTGAAGTTGTATCTTTAGTGTTATGATACAAAATCAAGTTGTGTTTTATTTTTAGGTAAAAAAATACTATGACACAACCTGAACTTATACATTTAATGTTATGATACAATTTAAATTTTTATCTATACATTTTCATGCAAAAATAAAACAAACTAAACTTATAGGTTTAACATCTTCATACAAATTCAATATGTATCTGAAAATTGGGCTCATTGACATTATATATTTATATTGTTTGATGAGTCCACTTGGGATCCTTTTTTTTTTTGGTTTAATCGTTGGGATCCAAATTCATTTATTCTCCTACGGTAAATTATCTTCCCTTAGTAGTTAGTACTAGTCTTATGGAATATCAGACGACTGACCAAAGTTAAAAATACATATGTCAACTGAAATATGTACTTACAATACTTTGGGTGTAACAATCACCTGTAACAATCACCAAGTCAACTTATAGTTAAATGAAAAGGTGTCGATTGATGTGTTCCAACAACTTTTTTTGTGAAAATGTGTTCCAACTACTAATCCAAAAGAAAAATAATCTGGAATGAGGAACAACTTTTTTTGTGAAAATGTGTTCCAACTACTAATCCAAAAGAAAAATAATCTTGAATGACTCAGTTTAATACGCAACGTGAATTTCCCGTGGGTAGCAAACATCACATATTACTATTAACTAGCTTTTTACCCGCCCGTTGGGCGGCACATTCGTATTGGTGTTTTAGTTTTCGTTCTATTTTTTTTATGATTTATGTATGTTAAACTATTATAAATTGAATTATTAATCTAACTTACTTGATTTTAGGTATTGTTACACACTTTTATATCTTTCATTTATTTATGAAATTTTGATTTTATTAAATGAGCTCTCGATAGATTTTCTTTATTTATTTATAAGTTGTTATCGAACCCACAATTTAGAATATAAACATAAGATATTATTAATCTTTTAGCACACAATAGTGACAAAGAAGTTTAAAAAAATTAAATAAGCAAATATGTTTCAATTAATAAAAAAAATAAGCAAAGAGCTTTTCATTCTTCTCCCTTCTCGTACGTTGCTATATGATAATATATTATATCGCGCTCTAAATCCCACGAATATCGTACACTATCAGTTACTTGTGCAATTTTGGAAGGATGAGGAAACACATTAGCATCCACATCATCAATCTCCTACTTATTCATTTATTTTATCTTCAAAATGTTCTAGCATAACCAATCAAAAATAGAACCATTAGTTGTCACTATTTTATTAAAATGATATTTTTTCAGCAAACTAAATTGCATATAAACACAATTTATATTTGTAGAGAACTACATACCCCCTGAAAAAACAATGGTGTAATTTTTTTACCTAATAACAACATAGACGAATTGTAAAAGTTGCATACTTAAATAAAACTCAACGCATTGTATCTTGTAAAATATGCATTCATGAAAACAATTGATGCATCAATCCAAATAGTTGTTGTCAAGAAAACGATCAGGCCAAAATTGAGTTTTAGTTAGGAATTCAATTAGGAAAAAGTTAATGCTAAGGAAACAAACAAATGT